TGGGCTGGCGGGAAACGCTAGCGGAGGGGAGACCAACGGAGCTCGCCCAATCCTCACTATCGGATGCCAGAAGAGAACACGCCTCGGAGGGTTCGTCAAACTCGTGGATGGACGCGGCGGCAGGCGGCGGCCGTTGTCCGTCAGTGAGCGACTCGAGCGAAACCGGCGAAGCTGGCGGGCGAACCGGCGAGCTTTGGCGGGCTGGAGAAAGCTCGGGAGCGCGCTGGGCGCGGCGCTTCTTGCGGCGCGGCACCACGGCGGGCTGCGGTGAAGGCTCGGAGAATGATGCCAGGCGAGTCCTCAGAGTCACCATAGGCAAAAGCTCGCAATGAGGGCATCCGCCGTCAGCGAGCGCGAGAGCCGCGTGATCCTCACCCAGGCAGGAAACACAGATGACGTGCCGGTCTCCATCGCTGAGCGGGGCGCGGCACGAGCCACAGGAAGGCATCTTTAAAAAGACGCAGCTCTTTTTGTGAGAGAAGTGTGAGTCGCGTCAAGTAAGCGAACACACACTCTCAACAGAGTAAATACACACAGAGTATGAAAAGGATATAGAACGCCGGAAAGCGCAGCAGGTACGGCAGTTGAAGGCGGCGAGGCCAGCGACTCCAGAGCTCGTCCCGCTGAAAGGCTTGCTTCGACGGCGCGGCTTCTCACTCCGGATCCAGCGATGCGTGTGCTTCGCTGAAGAGGTAAAAATCAGCTAGTATCAGCCTAACGAGCATATTTATAGGGTGAGACCACGCCCCTTCTGGCGGGACGTGACGATATGGGCGCGAATTGCCCCCATTGGTCATTACGTCACGCAGAGTCTCTCTCGATAGGCTGCTGCATTTGCTGCAGAGCCAGGGCCGTATTAAGACAGTGTGGTGCCCCTGGGCACTATACCTCAAAAGGCCCCCTATATTCAAATGTGTCAATTAAAAATGTACATAAATTAATTGACAGCGTCAATTCACGTTTGCCCAAAAATAATAATAAATCTATCAGGTTTCTTACCTCTACAGGCATGAAAAGGGGTCAGGGGTGAAAAAGGTGAGAAGGATATTACCCCTCTAGGGGGGTCCGGGGGCATGCCCCCCCGGAAGAATTTTTTTAAATATTCCATATTTTATAGCATCAATCTGATGCATTTTGAGATGCATTTTTTTGCCAACCTGGGGAGAGTTGGAGAAACTTAACTTCAGCCATGAGTCAAAAATATTATGGCCTCCGTAGCGTTAGCTAATAATTTCCCACCAGAGCTTTAGCTAGCTGGCTAATGTTGCGTTCTCTCCTGCTGTGTTCAACTCAATTCATCAAGCTGTAGCTAACGTTAGCTAAGCCTATGTCAACAGAGCTCCCGGGTAACTTAGATATAGCCTACCAGAAAATATTAGGGATGTCCCGATACCATTTCTTCTGAACCGATCCAATCCGATACCATACCGATCCGATACCAGCGCAGTAAAAAAAAAATAAAAAATCAAGTAGAATTTCTATAACTCTGTGTGTTGAACTGATAATCACTATTTTCTGTTAAACATAATCTACTTAATACAGACAACTTCATTATAAAGAAAAACAACAAATAAAAAAAAATATGATCATAACCTATGACAAAAATTCTATTATATAAACTAGATTAGTGGGTAACTCAGCAGTAAAATTTAGTCTAGAAAAATCACAAGTGCACAATAATTGTATAAAATCGAACATTTAGTGAAAAAAAAACCTTATTTAGTGAGGAACAAATAAGAGACAATAAGTGTAGCACTAAATCTGGTAAAACGTTTTCATGTATTAAGTTTAGCAGAACTGCTCCTTCCTTGATTTTGCGCAAGCAAAGGTGTCAACTACATCCCCAAAGTCCATTTCTTTGTTACCGTCTCCACAGTTAGCTCCGGCTTCGTCAGACTCAGCGCTGCTAGTGATAGCAATTCCCGTGATGTTCTCACAAAAAATCTTTCGATACCTGGAACATTGTGAATTGTAGCTACGTCTAGCGTCCTTGTCTTTCTTTAACTTTCTTTTTGCAAAACCACTCAATTGACGTCTGTCCAGTTTTGATTTTAATTCATTTTTTTGTAGCCGTTAAAAAAATGACACATTTGCACGTATTTGTTGTGGACCAACGCAACTCTGACAGATTGGGGAGGGGGGAGTGATAGTGGTCATGTAATCTTTATTTATTTATAATTTATTATTAAATCATTATTGTTATTATTATTGTTAAATTAGTGTTCATAAACGATTTATTTATGGTCTGTCAAGAATTTCAAGTTAATAATATAACAATTTACGAAAAATATTTTTAAAGCTTGACTCATGTGGTGCCCCCCTAGTGGTTGTGAATGGTTGGTGCCCCTGGGCACTGGCCCAAGTGCCCTTATGGATAATCCGGCTCTGTGCAGAGCAACCAATAGGCGCGCGAGCTGTTTCGCCTATGTCTGCTTGCTGCTGCAAAGCGTTTTACATTAATAAAAAATTAAGGATAATTTTTGGCTTCAATATATCGCGGAAAAGAGTTTTTCCCCCTAGCGTAAAGCTATTACGCAGTACGAGAGATACTCTCGTAAGAGAACCACTCTCTTCCAGTGGGTTTCGTTCTAAAGACAAGGAGAATGAGGAGATCTCGCTGGAGGATTTGATAGAGACAGAGAAGACGCGACAGAATAGTCACTAGAGTATACAAATCATGTCATTGCTATTCCTCCTTAGTTTGCCTGATTTTAAAAATTGTGACATCAACATTGTCTCCTGAAATAAAGGGACTCGTTCTTAAAATATAGCAAAAGCCAGTTTAGCTGAATTAAATTAGTATTTTGACGGTGATGCTGTGGTTTGACCAGAGGGAGGCAGTAAAGCTCTCAGATCTTGTCTTTGCTGGTGTTTGACTGTGTCCTGGTTCTTCAAGACTCTTCCATGCTGTTCTGAAGCTGTCGTCTGTTGTGTGGAATGACCCTCATCTCATGGTTTCATGTCCTGCAGGTCAGTGGAAGGGAAGTGTTTGAGTTCAGGCCTGATCTTTTTGACGATGAGGAGGCGGATGATACTTCAATACACTAAAGAAAAAGATGTGGCGTCAGCGGACAGGTTTACTGCAAGTGCTCCACCCACAAATGACACAGATGGTGAGAAGCTTCTGAATATTTGACCTGTTTCAATTGGACACTAGTCCTTTTTTCCCCAAAATTGTGAACAAATGGCAAGTAAAGCTAACACACTGAATGAAATTGTAAATTGCGTAATTGTGTAAAATTCTCAAGAAATCTAATTTAAATAAAATTGAGACAAAAAAATCGTGTATGTGTAAACATTTCCCCTTCTTAATTCAGTGGTGAGCTTGTCACCTCAAAGCAATCGTCTGTTTAATCTGAAATCATACAGTTATATAATGTACCAAGCATCAAACGAATTTGTCCATATGTTCAGCAACAGGTCATAAACATTCTTAACACTAGGCCTACTCCACTAATTGCTTGGCTTGGGCTGTTGAGAGATGGCCAACATGGTCAGAGGACTGGCATTTCCTATGATCTGCCTGAGAAAGTATGATCTCCCTTGCCTCGTTCACACAAATAAATAATATATTGCAGTGTATGTATAAATCACTTACAGTGCTATTAAGGTTCAACAAAAGAATCCCAAAAATTGTGCCAGTTGAGAAACCACATACAAAGCCCTGTCCTTATAACAAAAGCATTTAAAATATAGACAGACAAGATTTATTGCAGCGGCTGCAGAGAATTACTCCGTTTTTATAAGGACATTGACCTGAGGGTGGGCTATACCTTCCCCATCACCTAGCACCTTGTAAATGTTACAAATTATTTATATTTAAAAAAATGAAATTTCTATTCATCAAAGAATCCTAAAAAAAAATCAAAAAGTATTAAGCAGCACAACTGTTTTTAACATTGATAATAATAAGAAATGTTGTTTGAGAACCAAATCAGCATATTAGAATCATTTCTGAAAAATCATGACACTGAAGACTGGAGTAATGATGCTGATAATTCAGCTAATAAATTGCATTTTACATTCATATATATATATATTATAATGATATTTCACAAAATTCAATTTTTTTCTGTATTTTTGATGAAATAAATGATGCCTTGGTGAGCATTGGACACTTTTTTTCCCAAAAACACTTAAACAAATCTTACCCAACATTTAAATGGTAGTGTGATTCTGATTCTGAAAATGCACAACTTTCTGCTAAATAAGACCATGACTGCTTCCTGTTGAAAATAATTTGAAGGCTTTTAAAGCTACAAAACATTTGCCCTTGATGGCATTTTGATAAACATTTAAACATTTGCTTCTGTCCCTCATTCCTGTTCTTTTAAGCACCAAAACGCCAGGCTACCTTTGGAATGAGAAAATGACAAAAAATCATTCAAAAAGTGAAGAATGTTTTTAAGGGTTAGTGTTTAATGTTTTAAGTACTTTAGTATGTTTGTTGGATGCTCACCAGGCAAACATAATTATTCTGCCACTCTGCCATGCATCACATGATCCCAAAAGCCCCTTTGACCACACGCATGACCCGTCAGCTCTAAAACAAAAGTGACTTTGTTCCCCAGAGAGTGAGAATGTCGTTTGTGCTCCAATTTGCAAATGGTGCCTTTTATTTCCTCAGGAAACACAATCTTTTCAAGCCTTTTACTCTATGACATAAATGCATACTCTATACATAAAAGACCAGTTGTTCCATGTATACATTTGAGTTTACAGTATGTTAAGGGATTAAAATAATAGGCCTATGTCTTATAAGACAAGCCAGGCAGACATAAAAATCACCCAATGTTTCCTTTTCATACAAAATCTATGAGGGATCCCAGGGGGATTTACAGACTGCATTCTTGGAGACCTACTTCACTGCATTTAAGTCATGAATCACTGACAAGTCCATATAGCCTATGAATAAAATATCCTCAGGCTCTGAATAGTAATTTGTAATTGTCACAGTTATCTGGACCTTGTGGATAAAGTGTGGCTCAAGGACTCGGCTTACTGATAAAAAGCTGACAGCTTTTGTTCGCATTTTTAAAATGTTTACCAGTTCATGCCCATTTAAGTCATGCAGGCTATGCCCGCTGCGCGGAAGTTTCTCGTGACGTCACTGTGACGTTTCAGTAGGTTGGTTTATTTTCACTTCCTGTTCAGTGGGACATCCCGCGGCTCCATTCGAGCTGGACTACTTCAGTGTCCCTGTGTCCTACTTTACACTTTTGCTTCCATTTTACTGGACAGGCTAGAAACGAATGAGCTTTTATTGCAGCGGCCGGCCTGCAATAATGTAACGGACATTTCCGTGACTTGTTAGTGTGTGAGTGTTGCGTGTTATTATGGAGTGCGGAATCAGTGGCGATCATATGTAACTTAGGATAACGTTACTGCTGATCAACACATCCACCCACAAACCGCGCGATCTCCATCTACTCTCATACTCTACAGAGACACAAAACATGGGCAAACATCTCATCTGTTGTTGGCTTTGGGCTCTAGTGGCTCTTGTTTACTGGAAACGAGCACTTTCATTTAATCTGGACATTAGTAAACCCTCAGTTTTCTCTGGACCTCCAGGAAGTTACTTTGGATTTTCTGTGGCTTTCTTCAATCCTGATAATAAACAGTGAGTAGATGAAGTTGTGTGTAGGCTAAACCTAGTGAGGTGGCGAACTACAGACAAACTTGTTTGGATATCATAGGTGCCTAAGTTACTGTATTGCTTTTTATATGTTATTTTTTTGTGATGAAGATATGAATCTCAAGAATGCATGGATATTCTGAAAGAAACATGTATTAACATAACAATGCTCATTTTTATTGTAGGACTTACAATATAGAAGGCTCGGTCACCTTTTTTTGGCATATATAAAGTTAAATACAATATATATATATATATTAATTGTATTTAACTTTATATATGCCAAAAAAAAAAAAAAAAAAAAAGGCGAGCCTTCTCAGTGGTTGTTCCTAATCTCTGGAAAAGTAAGAACATATAAGAACAGCTCGGACTGCTGAAAATTTTAAGTCGATGCTTAAGACCCACCTGTATTCCTTCGCTTTCATTTCGAGTTGAGTTTTGCTACTGTGACATTCTCTACTGTTTGTTTTTGTTTATTTGTAATGAATAATATGCATTGTATATAATTGAAAGAAATATGTACATTTTAAAACTGTGTTTTAGTGTATTTAACAAAACAAATCATTAAAAACACATTTTCCCTCTGATTCCAGATTAAACATACTGGTTGGTGCACCCAGAGCAAACACATCTGATCAAACCCCATCGGTAGTCACTGAGAGGGGCGCTGTCTTCAGCTGTCCTTGGCAAAAAAGCGGCACATGCACACAGATTGAATTTGACAGCACTGGTAAGACGCAGCACTGTGTTTTTTTCAGACATCATAGTTTAATCTTTGCTCCTCCATGCTGTTATTTAAAGCTTTTTTGTGTGTATTGATTCACATTGCATGCTAGTGAAAGAGGTAGGGTTTGTCAGAGTTATTATAGGACCTTCTGAGTAGCCCGTGGCTCTTTAATGATTTATTGGGTCATATATCAGCTTTGCTCTAAATATTTTCAATAGGTGGAGGAAAAATAACAGGAGAGGGAGCCTGGGGTCGTTTCATGGCTCATCTAGGATTGTGCGATTGTTATTACAAAGTGTTTTGAATTTGAATTCACATGCTTGGCAGTGTCCTGCAACAGACAATGGAGTTGCTTTACTATTCATGTGCTGGCCTACTAACTAGATTGCAGATGTACACAAACAATCTTCACACTAACAGGACTTTGTTCAGGCTTATGTGTACTTGAGTATAGGCACCGTTTCTTGTGCCAGATCTCATTGGCATTCAGTGGCGGTTATAGACTAGTCTTGCGTGATTTACCCTGCCAGCCAAGCTGGATTGCTTCAAGAGGAACTACCAGACAAACAAAAAGATCTTCAGTTGGATTATCTCAGTGTGTTTAGAGTTCTCACCAACAACTGAACTATTCCTCTATGTGTTCTTTTCACCCTTAAAGAAGTTCTTGGGAAAAGAACCATGTATAGAGTAGCTTTAAATAATGCTGTACATCTATGGCAGAGTAAGCAGACAAGTTTGGAGTATATAATAATATTTAGTGGTATATTTTATGTATATTTACAATATTTGTATTTATTTATTTATGTATTTATTTATATTAAATACCAAGCCAAATGACAATGTAGATTTAGTATATGTATACAATTTAAATGCCAAACCAAATAGATTTGGGGAATTGTTTTTGTAAACATATTTTACAAATATATATTTAAGTTTTAGTAAATGCCAAACTAAGACATAGGCTACAGTTAAATGGACTGTGGTTACTGCCAAAGACTATAACAGTCTTAAAGGGACTTTGTTACTGCCAAGCTGTAAGTATCTGTTATAAGTGTCTGAATACTTTTTGGGGCCACCATATTTTCCATTTACCTCCAAGATTTTTATTAGTTTCCTCTTGCTTTCTTTGTGCACTTACTGCACTAGCGTAGTGTTTATATTTGTTACTCCATAACTAGTATTGCATGAAAGAAGCTTAAACATTCTTCTGTTAAATAACTGCCAAAGCATAACTGTGTCCTGACATGTTTTTACTGTGAATGACGTGTCCGTACAATAGTGTTCTCTGTGCTGGATGACCTGCTGGCTGTTTGAGGAGCAGGCACAGTCTAGATTAGAGAGAAATGTCTGAAGTATGAGATGGAAAACACTGTGTGGATCATGTAAAAACATTAATGCTGAACTGTTACAGCATGGTTGCACAACTGTGTTTCCACTGGGCCTTTGTACTGTCAACTCCCCGTTTGTGCTGTTTGGCAATAATTAAGTGCTTAATTCTAGTAAAGCCTGGGTGTTGTTGACCAGCTGTATGACTGTGTTGACCATGAGAAACACTGGGAAATTCCCAGCTCAGTAGCACAGACTGATGAGCAGCTGTGGCTTCCTGAGGCTGAGACTGTGGCTGAGATGAACCAAGGCAGCAGGGAAGGGATATCTTTTTTGGCTATATATATATATATATATGTGTGTGTGTGTGTGTGGCCTACTAAACCCTACATTATGGGGACAAAATGTCTCCACAAAGATGGCAATATCTGAAATACTTGTCCTTGTGGGGACATTTTTGGTCCCCATGAGGATAACAGCTTATAAATCATACCAAGTTTTTATGAAAATGTAAAAATGCAAAGGTTTTCTGTGATGGGTAGGTTTAGTGTAGGGAGACAGAATATACAGTTTGTACAGTATAAAAACCATTATGTCTATGGAAAGTCCCCATAAAACATGAAAAAACAACGTGTGTGTAGGATCTTGCAGACCTAGGAAAACTTTAGAGCATTTTTGGAAATGTTTACAAATCACATTTTAAAAGCTTTTCATTCATTTTGATTTCTAGGGCGAATATTATGGAACTAAAGAATGATTTCATGATTAAAATGACACCAGAATATTTTTATAATTAATCTGGTGCTCCTCATTTGGGAGTCACACTTGTTTATCTTCAGGGTCAAAAGTGACCGGACACCTGGAAATGAAACTTCCTCCTCCCCATCCTCTCCCTATTTTGAGAGGAATTGATGGCACTTATTAATATTTATGCAATAATTATGGTCCATTTTTGCCATTGAAAAAAAATTCTAATTTTTAGAAATATTTTTTCAATTAATGCAGTATTTCAGATTAATATAGAGACTAGGCCTTTTAAATCCAAAGGATTGGATAAAACAAAAATTTGATTTGAAGTGTACTGTACACGGTTTTGCATTATTATTACTACAGTCAAACCTGGGTACAGAGCATTTTATCTGCATCGTTGCCGATTTGTAGATTGTACCATTCTCAGATTCTTTGTGCTTTTGTCGATTTCCCATTCATTTTCCTATGGTCGGTCACAATTTTTTTTACGACCACTTAGCCTCCTCGAATCATGCCCTGCATGTTGTGTGTGTGTGTGTGTGTGTGTGTGTGTGTGTGTTCACATTCCAAATGCCATAAAAGTCGTACCATTCTGATGAAGCTGTGATTTTTAAAAATTCAAAACAGAAATATTTTCAGTCAAAAGTGACCGAAGAACACCAGTAAATCACTGACCTTTCTGCTGAAGCTCTGAAAACCCCTTTTTATTCACCATGTTCTACAAATATTCCATGCCTTGTTTGTGTTAATGAAGTTGTTTTGCTAATTTGATTATGTCATGAATAGATTCAGCTGTCCATGTTCATGACCTTGGATTGAACTTCAGATGGTTTGGTAATGAAGAGGATGAGAGAGTGCGGCGTTGCATATCAGCTCAACTTTTTGATCTATGAACTCAGATGCTTCTGTCCAGTCCTTTTGAAATCAGCTGGAATTAGAGGAACACGCCAGTGGATGAGATTGTAGTGATTGGAAGAGCAGTGTAGTCTACTACAAAGGACATGATGACAGTCTGACTAACTCTTATCTCTTCCTTCCCCATACCCCCTTCCTCTCTCATTCCCATCACAGATGACAGGAAGAATTCCAATGGACAGCAAATGGAGTTCAAGTCGAATCAATGGTTTGGGGCCACTGTGCGTTCCTCTGGGGACCATATTCTGGTGAGTCAGGGTGCACGTGTAGAAATTTGTTCTGAAATAAGATTGAAAAAAAAATTTGACCGCACTAATATATATATATATGTGTGTGTATACTACATACCGCACCATGTATACATATACATACATACTTTGAAATAGTTTAAAATTATGCAGCTGTTAGGTAACTTTATGATAGCTGTAAATTTATAAAGAGCGATGCTAATATTTTATTCGTTTGTTTGTTTAATTGTTTATTTATTTGTTAAATTTGAATCTACTTTTACTTATGCTTCCATAATCTCAGGAGAATCAATCAGGAATCAGGAGGAATCGCAAGTCATTTGCACAATTGTAACACAAACTCGTCTGTCATATTTATATTAGCAGCAAAATATCACACCTTTTTTTTTTTTCAAGTGACGTTCCATCAACTGGTCTTTTACACAGGGTTCCTTCACAGTTTGTAAAAGTCTGGAAACTTATGGAAAAATATTTGTTTCCAGACTATATCTCCTATTCAGTTGTCTAAAATATAAAAATTAAGAATTTGAAAGAAAAACGTTTTATTTATCATACAAGCAGAGTGATGTCATGGCAATAGTTTAGTGATTGTCAAACACGACTGAATGAATTCAACTACACTAAATGAACGTGCGTGTGCCACTCAAACAGGAGTAGATAAAAGAGCAAATGATCATCTAAATCAGACTGTACGTTACAGTTTTTTGATTGTGCAATGTTAAACCACGATTAATATTGTTTTAGGTTTCTGTAACCACGATTACAGTTTCAAAGCGATGTGTCAGGTGAATATATGCTCGTTATAAAGCGTTTTAGGTTTCTTTTCATCATGTTAAGCGCATGTCATCAGTTCGAGTAAACCAATGAAAAAAGCCTGAGAAAATATTAACAGATGATTGTACTATATAGTATACCAAATGAAATGCTGTATGAACCATTTATGTTAAAGGAGCCGTATGTAAGATTGTGGCCAAAACTGGTACTACAATCACTTTCAAATTACTGTAGAGCGGTGTATCCCCTCCCCCTCCCCCCTGACTCGAGGTTGCCAGATAGGCTGCAGGATTCGCAACGTTGGCGTCTTCAAATTCTTCTCCGTTTTCAGCCGTCTCCATCTTTCAAATTCATCTCCTATACAAATCCTTGTTTTATTTCGGACTTTGTCACAAAGTATTTCGGAATCACAACGAGTTTTTTTTTTTGATTCGTAACGTTAGACATTTGTTTATCCGACACGTTTGTGGTAACTACAGCAGAGCTGGCAACCCGGATGCCGCAACAGTACTGACTTCGTGATTGGTAGATAGGTGGTGGCGCATCAGTCCAAAACACAACATGACAACATCAACATCAGTTGAGGGCTGCAACTTCACTTTTTAAATGACAATATCCTGGCCGGACTACTGTTGTCAGTGATATAAGTATTTGAAATGAACATGATTTCTTCATGTCTAGTGACATATCAGGGCCATTTTATGATTAATTGAAATACATTTCTTACATACGGTTCCTTTAAGTATGGTTTGAAAATCTACAGAGATTTGGAAATTTGAGTCTAAAAAAGTATGTAATTTTGAAATTGAAAATGTGTAGGAAGGAACCCTGTTTACATTGACCCTGGGATGTCCTTATTGTTAAGCCCTGTTGTATATTATAAACACGATTCTATATGAAAGAAAATCCTAGATTAAAACAAGTCAGATATAAAATTGAAATTAAATATTCTTTATTGTATTGTTGTAAGAGGCCGCTTCCTTTATTTAAAAGTACTTTGATCTTGACTTTCAATGCTGATATGGCACTTAAATTAAATGTTTAAAGTATGTCTTGCTGGAATATGTAAGCAGATATTTATCAGCATATGGTTTAGAAGAACATAATTCCTACTCATGTACTGATCTGCACATTTTTCTCTCTCTTCAGGCATGTGCTCCTCTCTACCAGTGGAGCACGTATGGATTCTCAGAAAGGGAGCCTGTCGGGACATGTTACCTGAAGAAGGGCAATAGCATTGTGGAATATTCGCCCTGTCGCTCTAGTATGTACTTGAACACAGCGCTTTACCTCACCTCAGGCTGCTCATGCCCTTATTGGGTCATATCTAATAGCCTTCCTCAGAAATGTCTTGACTTAGATTTATGGGATATCATACTTGTGTTGTGTATCATCTCCTACACATATATGGTTTTAAGACACATCTGAGTTAACACGTTATTCAAAGTCGGTGTGCCAGTTGTCATATGGTCATGACAGTTCCTCTGTCTGAAGTTTGTCTTCCTCTTTCTCACCTTTCCTTCATGTTGATACTTCCTCAAAACTATATCTGCTAGTTCTGAAGACCTTAATGACTTTGAGTATTTCTTTTTTCATCAGAATCAAACTCACCTGAGGGACAAGGATTTTGTCAAGCAGGTTTCAGTGCTGATTTTGTGAAGGTATTTTTTTCCCCCACAGAAATTTTCTCCCTTATATGTTTGTGCATTTATGTTTTACATTTTCTATCATTTATTATATATATAAACAATTAATATCAAACCCCACTATATCTGATGTTTTACCATTTTTTTACCTACACATTTATTTTTCTGAAATGTTTTATTCAAAAAGTGTGCTGGTGCTTTTCTTGCCACTTAATTTTTTTTTATATTTAAATTTTGATATGCCGCTTTCACCCTGCTGTTTGTGTTTATTGTATTTCCCATTATTGCCCAAACTTGTGCCGAATGTACCAAAACATGTTTTTTTTTGTCTCCATCAGAAGAACCGTGTAGTTATTGGAGGACCAGGAAGCTTTTATTGGCAAGGTAAACTGTTTTATTTTATTATCCTTCTGTGAATTTGACACTGAAAGGCACTGAATGGGGAAACAACAATGTTGTCCTTTGTCAGGACTTTTTGGTGACTCAGAGAATGTCTGCTGTGTCTTGCTTCCAAGGGCAAGTTCAGATATAGCATTGACACAAAACAGGCCAGTGAATGTTTGCGCAACCTCGACAATACTTGTTAAAATTTACAAATGTGTCTCGGGTCCCCGCCTGTGAGAGAAATGCTGCTCAGAAGAGAGGGAGCTGTTTTGAAGTCAATAAATAATGCAGAATCATATGCTGTCTACTGCAGTGGAGATGAGTCTGTGGTTTCATTGAAATGTTTTGTGCTGTGCTGTGTGATGTTGAAATGCTTGTTTACTGAGTCGCAGATCTGTTATGACCTCATAGGGTGGGGTTATTTTAGGAACCGTGCCCAGAAAAGACATTTAAACACATCTTTCATGAATTTCATGACCTGCGGTGATCGTTTTTAAAAGTTCATTTTAAAGGTGTTTTTAGTTTTTTTGTTACTGTGTTTAGTTTTTCTGCTGAGTGTCTCTTTTGTAATGGTATGATAATTATACTCCCTGCTGAGAGTAAAATGCTTTCAGAAATGTGAATGTGATGGTGTGATTGATAGTAACTTAAGCTAACCTTGGTTAGACTTGAAGTAAGTCTTAAGTGTTAGAAAAGTGATTGAAACTGTAAGCGGAATTGTTAGTTACTTTGTAAGGTACAAAAAAATTCTACATCATAATAACTTTTTAATTAAATAGCCTAACTTGTGAGTTAACTAAACTAAATTACTAAATTATTTTGCTAAGAAAAAAGTAACTTATGTGGGGGACTTTTGGAAAGTGCTTACTCAAATTTATGTTTATATATATATATATATATATATATATATTATTTAATCAATTTTTAGTGGTACATTTTGTGGTACACTGATTCCCTGAAATGAACTTGAGAGGTCATTTGAGGAAAGTGTGTTTGCTTCACTCTTGCTTCACCCTAAAGGTGATGATACACAGGGCAACTTTTTGAGCAATGTTGCCGTCAACGGGCAACCAGATGAGACACGGCCCACGCCCAATCTAAATTATCCAGATATAAATTTATTGCCCATTTTCAATGGGAAAGTGCCCAAGCAACAATCGCTCGGCAAGATTGCCCAGCAACATTGCTCAAAAAGTTACCCTGTGTATCATCACCTTTAGGCTGTGTGAGCAGTATAATGTGACAATTTTTTTGATTGATATGCTGTGTTGTTAAATCTGGTCTTGGTAAAAAGATAGATAGTTGCTTAAAAAAGCTACTTTGTTTGAACAAACTGAGCTCCTATTCCACTACTGAGGGTGTGTTCACACTTGACAGGTTTGGTTTGATTAAAACGAACGCTCTCGCTATGTTAGTGCGTTTCATTCGAAAGTGAGAACTCTGCCATTCGAACCCTGGTGTGCACCTAACAAGTGGATCAAGACTGCCGAACTCTGGTGTGGTTCGTCAGAAATATGAATGCAACACGGACCAAAGACATCTAAACGAACCAAAAACTGGATGTGATGTCACAAATTGTGACCCTAAAAAGGATGCTAAGGCATACCTGGTTTTTCTCGTCATAGGAGCTTCGTTGTCCATTACAGTTCGGTACAGGCGTCAGAAACGTTGTCTTCTTGCAGCAGATCTTCGTTTTATGTTACTCCTTTACACATCTTATAGCTCTTCACGAGTTCTCAGCTGGTCAAAATGCCATCATATGTACGTACGCACATACAACAAGGGCATTTAGCCCAGTACACAGCCTTGTTTTAGATGTTTGGTAAGTTCCATCACAAAATTCTTTTTTTGTATCTTTAGGTTCATACGTAAAAATGACAGTGTGAATGCTAAGCGAACCAGGACTAAATGTATTATTTTCTTTTTTTGGTTCGGACCAAGAGAACCGAACTACAAGTGTGTGAACAACACACCCTGAAAGTAGCATCATGACTTGTAGTTAGTTATTCCCTAACACTGAAAGTCTGTAAAGATTACAGACCTTAAACAAGACCAATATTACCAACATACAACCATATTAAAAATAATATTACATGATTTTACTTTTTGTTGAATGTTTTTACTTTAAACGTTTACATGTATGCATGTACAGGTCCTTCTCAAAAAATTAGCATATTGTGATAAAGTTCATTATTTTCCATAATGTAATGATAAAAATTAAACTTTCATATATTTTAGATTCATTGCACACCAACTGAAATATTTCAGGTCTTTTATTGTTTTAATACTGATGATTTTGGCATACAGCTCATGAAAACCCAAAATTCCTGTCTCAAAAAATTAGCATATTTCATCCGACCAATAAAAGAAGTGTTTTTAATACAAAAAAAAAGTCAACCTTCATATAATTCTGTTCAGTTATGCACTCAATAGTCAATCCTTGGTCGGGAATCCTTTTGCAGAAATGACTGCTTCAATGCGGCGTGGCATGGAGGCAATCAGCCTGTGGCACTGCTGAGGTGTTATGGAGGCCCAGGATGCTTCGATAGCGGCCTTAAGCTCATCCAGAGTGTTGGGTCTTGCGCAGAGGTGGGTTGAGTATCCAAAAACTGTACTCAAGTAAAAGTACAAGTACTTATAGAAATATTTACTCAAAGTAAAAGTAAAAGTAATAATCTTAAAAGTTACTTGAGTAAGAGTAAAAAAGTATCCAATGAAAAAACTACTCAAGTAGTTAGTTACTAGTTACTTTGGAACACATAGGCCTATATATATATATATATATATATATATATGTATATATATATTGTATATGTAACATGATATTATTTAGATTTTTTTTTTTTCATTTAAATGACTATTATTATCATAATTAGATAAGCTATCTTTGCAACAAAAACAGAAGAGACAAACATTATTTCTGTATATCTGTACCCTGAAAACCATTGCCTGTCCTTTGGTTTGTATAATAGTATAGTAATACTTAAACAACTACATTTGGATTATTAGACAATGTCGGAATAAAGTGACTTTATGGAGTTTTGCATTCAAGGGATGGGAACCATTGACAGATTAGAAAGAGTTAAAACTCTGCATATGTGCTCGCAGTCATGTCATGCCCAACATAAACAACGATCAAATGCACGGATCTTCTTCTGTCTGTTCTCCAAAATGTATTTAAATGTAGGCTATATTTATGAAAGCATCTTTAAACTGGTTAACTGAGTCACATAAGGCAGGCAAAGGCATTCGTTTTCAAGTCGAGTTCGCACGCCACTGCGCAATACACACTCATTGTGTGTGTGCACTGTGTACAGTACACACATTCATAAACTGGACGATGATAGCTTATTTAATGTATAAAGTAATGTATATGTCCGAAAAAAGGGTAATGTCATACTTTGTAGTAGTGCTATATGGCGTAATAATCTGTTTGGTTGTAAAATGTATTACCTGAATGAAATCGAATGTATCGTCGTGTGGAATCATTCATTCACAGACAGCTTACGAAGTAGCTAACATACGAAGATGTTCAACTAATAAAGATCTTCATCGCTGGCAAAAAATATGATGCATTTGCAGATTTACTTTCTAGACTGTACTGTAGACTGCCACTTCATACAACGCTCTTGATGTTCTTAAATATTCCTGTTACGACTCCGAGACGATTCAGATTCAGTGCGTGCAGTAAACTGAACAGATCATTCAAACTGATTCGCGAACCGATTTAGACAGATCTGCCCAACTTGTTTGATGAAGTCTTTGAACAGAATCGACTCAAAAGAGTGATTCATTTGTGAATTGAGCATCGCTCATGCCCAGAAAAAAGAGAGAGCGCGCGCTTAGAATAAACTACGCTTTTAACAACATATTGCATTAAAATAAAGTAACGAGAGGAACGTCGCCAAACGTAACGAAGTAAAAGTACAGATTTTTCATTAGAAATCTACTCGAGTTAAAGTAAAAGTACCCACAATTAAATCTACTCTTAAAAGTACAAATTTTCCAAAAAAATACTCAAGTAAATGGAACGAAGTAAATGTACTTCGTTACTACCCACCTCTTTTGCGTCTCTCAACTTTCTCTTCACAATATCTATGGCGGTATTATCCTGTCAGATGTCGAGAGCGCATTATTGTAGCGCGAAAGTACATTAATATTATGCGCGAGCGTGAAGCTCGTGCGCGGAATATGATATGCCGAGCGCGAATCTCTCTGCTCGCGCGCGGAATATGATATGCCGAGCGCGAATCTCTCTGCTCGCGCGCGGAATATGATATGCCGAGCGCGAATCTCTCTGCTTGCGCGCGAGAACTGGGCGCGTGCTCTCAGATACACTTCTCTTGTAAGAATTCTCTCTCTGGGCTGAGTGAGCTCGCTGCCTCGCTCAGAGAATATGCCTGCACTTAAAAACGTGTTCAGTGCAATCGCGAATCGCTCCTCTTCCCCAGCTAACAATTTTAGGTTATAAGAACGTTTTCATAACGTTCCCATTAAGTTATAAAAACGTTATTTCTGAATGTTCTAGGGAATTTCAAAAAGTCCCGTTTTTTAGACGTTGTATTAACGTTATTTCTTGGTTATAAGAACGTTAAATTCTCCCGTTATGTAAACGTTGTATTAATGTTATTTCCTGGTTATAATAACGTTAGAACGTTAAATTCTCCCTTTATATAAACGTTGTATTAACGTTCTTGCTTGGTTATAAGAACGTTATTCAAACGTTCAATTCTCCCATTATATAAACGTTCTCTTAATGTTTTTCTAAGATAATGAAAAACGTTTCATTCAATAAAAAACATTAAGAAATGTTTTAATAATTATTAAAACCTTTCTTAATGTTTTTAATATAACAAGCCTATATAATAGGCCTAGCCTATATGAAGAACCTAAAACAAGAACTTTCAGATTTTAAAATTAAGACAAAATTTTTAAAAAAGACCCATGAATCATGTCTATAATATGTGTAATGTAGTCCACTGAAGTTGAGTTGAATTGAACCCAAGTATAGTTTATTCCAAAAAACCGATTTGGGTTGAAGTGACAATATGAAATTAACATGAACATAAACTTGGACTAAACATAGAATCACCAACAATGGTACAGGGAACAAAGCTAGACAAGAGACAATGGGAACACAAGGACAAGGATAATGACCAAAAACAACCAATGACATTCACAAGTTAAAGTTAATTTAATTTATATAGCTCATTTTTACAACAATTTCCAAGTTTATGTTCATGTTAATTTCATATGGTCACTTCAACCCAAATCGGTTTATTGGAATAAACTATAGGCCTACTTGGGTTCAATTCAACTCGACTTCAGTGGACTACATTACACATATTATAGACATGATTCATGGGTCTTTTTTTATTTATTTTTGTCTTAATTTTAAAATCTGAAAGTTCTTGTTTTAGGTTCTTCATATAGGCTAGGCCTATTATATAGGCTACATTGTTATATAAAAAACATTAAGACAGGTTTTAATAATTATTAAAACATTTCTTAATGTTTTTTTATTGAATGAAACGTTTTTCATTATCTTAGAAAAACATTAAGAGAACGTTTATATAATGGGAGAATTGAACGTTTGAATAACGTTCTTATAACCAAGCAAGAACGTTAATACATACAACGTTTATACAAAGGGAGAATTGAACGTTCTAACGTTATTATAACCAGGAAATAACATAACGGGAGAATTGAACGTTCTTATAACCAAGAAATAACGTTAATAAAACGTCTAAAAAACGGGACTTTTTGAAATTCCCTAGAACATTCAGAAATAACGTTTTTATAACTTAATGGGAACGTTATGAAAACGTTCTTATAACCTAAAATTGTTAGCTGGGGAAGAGGAGCGATTCGCGATTGCACTGAACACGTTTTTAAGTGCAGGCATATTCTCTGAGCGAGGCAGCGAGCTCACTCAGCCCAGAGAGAGAATTCTTACAAGAGAAGTGTATCTGAGAGCGCGCGCCCAGTTCCCGCGCGCGAGCAGAGAGATTCGCGCTCGGCACATCATATTCCGCGCGCGAGCAGAGAGATTCACGCTCGGCACATCATATTCCGCGCGCGAGCAGAGAGATTCACGCTCGCGCATTATATTAATGTACTTTCGCGCTACAATAATGCGCTCTCGACATTTGCTAGGATAATAACGCCATAAATATCCCACAGATTCTCTATGGGGTTCAGGTCAGGAGAGTTGGCAGGCCAATTGAGCACAGTAGTACCATGGTCAGTAAACCATTTACCAGTGGTTTTGGCACTGTGAGCAGGTGCCAGGTCGTGCTGAAAACTGAAATCTTCATCTTCATAAAGCTTTTCAGCAGATGGAAGCATGAAGTGCTCCAAAATCTCCTGATAGCTAGCTGCATTGACCCTGGCCTTGATAAAACACAGTGGACCAACACCAGCAGCTGACATGGCACCCCAGACCATCACTGACTGTGGGTACTTGACACTGGACTTCAGGCATTTTGGAATTTCCTTCTCCCCAGTCTTCCTCCAGACTCTGGCACCTTGATTTCCGAATGACATGCAAAACTGAGCAACAGTTCAGTGCTGCTTCTCTGTAGCCCAGGTCAGGCGCTTCTGCCGCTGTTTCTGGTTCAAAAGTGGCTTGACCTGGGGAATGCGGCACCTGTAGCCCATTTCCTGCACACGCCTGTGCACGGTGGCTCTGGATGTTTCTACTCCAGACTCAGTCCACTGCTTCCGCAGGTCCCCCAAGGTCTGGAATCGGTCCTTCTCCACAATCTTCCTCAGGGTCCGGTCACCTCTTCTCGTTGTGCAGCGTTTTTTGCCACACTTTTTCCTTCCCACAGACTTCCCACTGAGGTGCCTTGATACATCACTCTGGGAACAGCCTATTTGTTCAGAAATTTCTTTCTGTCTTACCCTCTTGCTTGAGGGTGTCAATGATGGCCTTCTGGACAGCAGTCAGGTCGGCAGTCTTACCCATGATTGCGGTTTTGAGTAATGAAACAGGCTGGGAGTTTTTAAAAGCCTCAGGAATCTTTTGCAGGTGTTTAGAGTTAATTAGTTGATTCAGATGATTAGGTTAATAGCTCGTTTAGAGACCCTTTTCATGATATGCTAATTTTTTGAGACAGGAATTTTGGGTTTTCATGAGCTGTATGCCAAAATCATCAGTATTAAAACAATAAAAGACCTGAAATATTTCAGTTGGTGTGCAATGAATCTAAAATATATGAAAGTTTAATTTTTATCATTACATTATGGAAAATAATGAACTTTATCACAATATGCTAATTTTTTGAGAAGGACCTGTATTGGCACTGCTTCTTTCTGTTTTGCTTAACATCACATGCAGGTTCAAGACATCTATTGCTTGCACACTTCATTTCCCAGTGGAATAAAAAAAAACTTTTGCTGCTTGTGTTCTCCTAACTGTTTTTCCCCATTCTTTTTTCAGGTCAGCTGATCTCAGATGACGTCACTGAAGTCATCAATAGATACAATAAGGAGTTTTTTACTCCTTACAGTAACCAGTTATCAACCAAGTCAGCCGGGGCTCAGTATGATGACAGTTATTTGGGTAAGCCTTTTTGCATCTTTTGTTTTTCGTGGTGATTTATATTTGCACTGTTACTTGTAAATCAGGAGCTCAATATAATTTTGGGTTGCACATGTAATGAATGTTTGTGTGCTTTGAGTTGCAGTGATCAGAATGTAAAAAGCAAACAAGCAGAAATGCAGTGCAGATATTTATGTCATCGTTTAATTCTGTCTTAGGTTACTCTGTGGCTGTTGGTGATTTTAATGAAGATGGTGAAGATGGTAAGACATTTCGATATGTTTCATTTTTTGGAATTACATTATTACTGTATTTTGCTGATTTTTAATTTAATTTTTTATTTGAGCCTTAGTGAGCATAAGAGATTTTTCAAAAACATAATAAAATTATTATTGACCGCAAATTTTTGAATGGTAGTGCAATTTTAAGCAGCCCACAACCATGAGTTGGTCTGACCTGCTCTAAATACATTGCATTGCACTGCAAACTGAAGCAGTGCATTATATGAGTGGCTTAAGTCTGATTTTTCTATGTAAATGGATCAAGAAGCTTCATTGCTGAATGAAAGCATTGTTGTGTCCAACTCATTTTTAATTCTTCCTGCCTCTCTAGATTATGTCACAGGAGTTCCTAGAGGGGAGAAGGCTCTTGGTTATGTGAGTTTAATATTATTTTTGGTCAGGAATCTGACAAAAACCCATAAAAGTGATGCAACCCTGCTTGAAGCAGCTCTTTGTCTGGTTTTGTCTTGTTAGGTCAACATTTTCAATGGGAGGAACATGGAGTCTATGTATAATTTCACAGGCACACAAGTGAGTGTTACAAAAATCTTTACACCACTTAAACGAGCAGTCTTGCCTGTGAGCAGCCTGCAGGTCACATGACATGCCAAATCTTGTGGTCATGGCACAGTTATGTTCAACATTTGTTTACGAGCAGAGAGTTCAGGTCCTAAATCCACTCCCACATCTGGAAGCTATTGACCGCAGTGTCGCCAGCACTCAAGAGCGAGAGAAGAAAAGAGCATGAGGTGTGGCATCGACAGGCCCGGGTTTTTGGCTGCTTGTGATTGCTGCCGTTGTGATACATCAACAGTTATCACATGGTTTAACAGAGATTTATGAGTCTTAAGCTCAAAAAATGAATCAATATACTGTAGGCAGCACCACCAAAACCAGCCATAATAACAATTAAGAATAATTATTTCCTTTTTCCTTTTCTGTCCACATTAGATGGCTGCTTACTTCGGTTATTCTGTAGCAGCCGTTGACATCAATAATGACAGGTAAGTGATGCTATAAACTTTGCTGTTTAATGTTTTCCTCACTGAAGGGAGGTTGAAGATGTCTACACACATAAACAAGCTTCATTAAAGCTCTTTGACAATCTATTCCTTCAAGAAAGTCCATTCATGGACTAATGGATACTTTAAATAAGTGTTTCTCAACTGGCATTTCTTGGTCATGAAAATGTGTTCAAAACTGACAACTGACTCTTAACCTGGCCTTAGAGAAATCAAGCTCACAGACATTAAAGGGACAGTTCATTCAAAAATTAAATCCTTATGTACTCACCCTCACCTGTATGACTTTTAACTTTTTTTGTTCCACAAAAGAAAGTATGTTTCAACTGTTTGTGTCCATTCAATGAAAGTCTGTGGGGTCTAAAAGAAATTAGACCAAAACATACTATTCCATTACTGTCCCTTTAAAAGTTAAGATAATAATATCTTGCCCTTTGTCTTGCATTAAGTTATAGGATATATGTATGTGTGTGTGTATGTATATATATATATATATATAATAAATCAGACATTAGAAAAGAAACTCAGAAAAATAACAACTTGATAAAATGTGTATTTTATTATTTTTTCACTCCAACAATGCTCTGGAAACCCACAACACAGGGTTATATTATAGTTCTGAGCTATTGATTTTGTTTAGATAGTGTAAAAACTGTGATTGTTTTAGTTTAAGTGTTCTATAGCTTGTTTTTCTGTACATTTTAGTTTTTAATTTAGTTTAGTAAAACTTTGTTTGGAATTTATTAACTTTGTTTCTAATTATTTAGTTTTCTTTTTCTTTAGAAACAATGCATTTTGACATGAAATGAAAAATTCATATTTCAGGAATCTTTTATTAACTGTGAAAAATGCATTTTATTTTAATTATAATCTTTAAAGTAATTTAATCAACTGACAGCTCTAATTTTAGTTTAAATTGACTTAAAGCTGCAGTCCGCAGTTTTTCCTCTTTGTCGCCATCTCTGTTCGAAATCTGCAGTTGCAGTTATTTGCGGAATTATTAACCCTCTGGGGACGGATTGGGCGGTACCGCCCAAAATGGCATACTTTTACAAATGTGTAAATATCTTAAAAACTATTAATGATAGAGAGGTGCGGTCTTTTTTACCGTCTTCCTCAGATTCCGCTGAAAACAGTGATAACTTACCCGGCTTGTAAATATACACACTTCCTTGTTGCGCAATACCACTATGTAAAGGGCCAATGAAATCGATGTTGTTTGGCAGATTCCGCAAGCAACAACCAATGGAAAAATTGCCGATGGCGAAATATTTTTCTTATCCAATCAGAGGAAGGTTACCATGACGTATCTAGCAAATCAGAGGACTCTGTAGCCTTGCAAGGGGTGGTACTATATAGTTAGGGATATGACGCAAACAGCGTTGAATGGAGAGGAGGAGAGAGAGCGAACGGAGGCTTACGGAGCGGATTATCAGAGAAATATGAGAGAGAGACAGAACAATTATAATATATATATTTATATACATACAATTATAACATTATTTATTGTTTTAGCACTTTTATGATGGCAAGCAGTAAAGATTTACGGTGGAACAAGCTTTGGAACAATTACTGGAGAGAGACGAGGAGAAAGCATTGCTTAGAAAATTCTAAGCATTCCTAAGAAAAACGCCTAGGACTATTTGTAAATAAAGTTAAATTTTTCATTGTTCTTTACACATTTTATTTAACAATTACACATGTCTGTCAAGCAAAGGCTTTGACAAATATATTTTTTGTTCAAAAACTGTTCACTATTGTTGTGTGATGTGTGATTTTCAGAAATAAATGACAAAAATCGAATTTCCGTTTTTGAAATTCTCTAGTTTATTGTACATTTTTCACTCATACTTCCTTTATAAACACATTACATGCATGCTTATGTTAGCTTAAGGTCTTCTGAATCCATAGATACCAAACACATAGTGTTCCATCTACATTACATATGGTTTATAAGCCCAAATGTAAAAATAGAGAATACAGACCAAAAAGGGCTTAGTCCCCAGAGGGTTAACTCTACGTGAGTTGTAGTTCGACACGGCACAGCACGGATGAACACAATGTTTGAGGAGACTGTGAGGCTGTCAGTTGGTGTGGACTCTGGCATTCAGAATCACAGATTATTCTTTTTGGAAGTATGACCAACATAATAATTTTCACCGGAAAATGTCATCTGAACAAGTAAGTAACATCCACTTTTGTTCTGGTTCTGACATTGCAGTAAATCGTGCTGATTAAATCTAAAAATCGCTTATCATATCATGTAAAACCGTGCAAATAATACTTTGTTCTCAAATTGTTAATGTTAACAACGTCAGCATTGCGTGACTACATGTAATGTCCTTCCGATATGTATCCTTGTTTTCGCATGGGTCCGGTTGCAGTCTCTTTTTTTCTGTAGCCACTCCGAAGTCCGAACGAAGTCTTTCGCATTTTACAGCGGGTAAATCTGTTGTCACTGGTGATTGTCGTTTGAACCTTTCTGGATCCGCCATCAAATTGATAAGTTTAATTATATCAAGTGCTGTGAGAAAAGGCTATAAATCTCCACCTCCAACATCCTAACACTCATAGCCTACTAGCCGAGACTCCTTCTTTATGTTTACAGATGTGACGTAATGACGCAAAGACATGCTCGAATCTCCCGCGGAAATCCACCAGTACCACTGGAATTAAAAACATTATTACAAGCTTACCGTTTTGAATCGAGCTAAGGCAAGCAGATAGTTTTGAACACTGGCTGGTTATGTATTTTCTCAAATATGTACTTTGGATAATTTTAACTCAAAAAAGCTACGGACTGCAGCTTTAAAGGCACACTATGCAGGAATTCCGTTTTTGTCAAACAGCGACCCCTAGAGTCGCTGTGGAGTACTTGTATTTAACGTTACTGTCGTAAATGCCACTCATGCAGAGCGTCTGCCATAGACTGGTCTCTGCACTCACGGCCTGATACCCCTTTGAAGCTGTTATATTAAGGTACAAATCTTGCATAGTGTGCCTTTAAATAAGAGATCTAGCGCTAAAATGTGTTTTTGAACTCAACCGGAGCGCTCGTGTCCGCTGCTATCAGTGTCATGGATACATACATAGTAGGGGTGGAACGGTACATGTATTCGTATTGAACCGAAACGGTACGGGCGTCACGGTTCGGTGCACGAATTTGCACGCAGAATACACGGTACAAATAAAAAAAAAACCCTCTTAAATAGCGATAAATTTCGCTCTATTCGCTTTTGGTGTGACTGTTAACGCAGCAATGAACAGGCTGCGATCAAGATTGCAATGCAGGAGTGTGTGTGTCTGTGTGCGCGCGCGAGAGAGAGAGAGAGAGAGAGAGAGAGAGAGAGGCGCGATGAACAGTGTGTGTGTGTGTGTGCGAGAGAGAGAGAGGCGCGATCGAACAGTGTGTGTGTTTGTGCGCACGCGTGCGAGAGAGAGAGAGAGGCGCGGGCGCGAATCGCGCGATGAACAGTGTGTGTGTGTGTGTGTGAGTGCGCGCGCGCGAGAGAGAGAGGCGCGGGCGCGAATCGCGCGATGAACAGTGTGTGTGTGTGTGTGTGTGTGCGCGCGCGTGCGAGAGAGAGAGAGAGGCGCGGGCGCGAATCGCGCGATGAACAGTGTGTGTGTGTGTGTGTGTGTGTGTGTGTGTGTGTGTGTGTGTGTGTGTGTGTGAGAGAGAGAGGCACGGGCGATCGAACAGTGGAAACGTAAAAACATACTCCGTCATTTTTTTCATACAGGACATCATTAAAACTGCAAATTGTTTACTTATATTTGTGTACACTGGCAATAAAACACAACATTGTGCTTTTGTCACACTCTAAACTCTTGTCAAACTGTAACCTACAACTGTTAACAAAAGTTTTTATGGTAGTATTATTTTATACGGAAATCAATTATTTATAATTCAGATGAGAATAAAGTTAGTTAATTAAAATGAAGGAAAACAAATATCTTGATCTGAAATAGCAAATTAATTTTAAATTCATTCAGGTACAATTACCAAACATATCTCAAGGTCTTTTCGTCTTTTTAATAATTTAATTAATAAACTAATTATATAAAACTACTGTCAGTGCACTACAAATAAACTGGTTCTATGCCTTTATTAATAAAACTTATTTAAAAAAATACAAGGTTTAAGACATTTATGAAAATGCCTTCTGCATTTTTGCTTTGCTTTTCACTCCATTGTACCGAAATCGTACCGAACCGTGATGTCTGAACCGAGGTATGAACCGAACCGTGACTTCTGTGTACCGTTCCACCCCTAATACATAGTGTCTCTTGTGGCGGCACGCGCGCAGTCTTCACTCGGACGCGCTCTTCAATCTATCGCCGTTGCGGAGACTCTCTATTCATTCCGGTGAAATCACAAAATAAAATGCACACAAACTTAGAAAGATTTACTTACTAGTCCATCAACAAGATCGCCAGGTAAGCATCACTGTTGCATCCAGTGCTGCTTTTTAGCTCGCGCCAACGAGTGAAAGCCCGACCGAGTGGGACTCTTGTCCGGTTCCTCACGCGGTCAGATTCTCTTTTCCTTTTCCTAGTCTCTTCCGACCGCGTTTTCTTTGCTTTTTCCATCGTCGAGTATCACGTCTGAAATGCGCGCAAGTGTGTTCGTGCTTCAAATGTTGCTGTTGATGTGTGTGACGTCGTTGTTGATGTGTGTGCCGTCGTTGCCGTAAAGCATGTTGTCATTCTCGCGAGATTTGTCGGGGGCGCTCCTCTCAAACTTGCATTGCTGGTTTTTCCAGCGGCGTCCCCCCCCAAGCTTTACTACCAGAATGATTCGCCCTACTATGAGTTTGTTTACCACCGAAATGACTTTGAAGCTGTTATATTAAGGTACAATTCTTGCATAGTGTACCTTTAAACATGTAAGTTTAGATTTTTCTTTTAATTGAAAAATACAATATAACATAAAGAATAAAATGCTTAATTCATTATGTTACCTTATTCTGTTCGAGTCGTTTTTACTTGGAGGATGTTGTTGCAAGACTGATCTTCTGCCAGAAACATCAGGTTGATCTGCTGCTGTCCAGAATCAGGTGGTTTGTCTTCGTCTGGCATCTCAGCTGAGACCTGTCCTCTATGGGTGACCCTACCAGTAGTTGTGAAGTACCAGTGGCGTAGCTCTCAGCATCACTGATGCACACAAGCCCTCACAGCACGTCAAGCTGCAAACCGTGTGAGGGACCCTAACCTTCCCTAACCTACAGTAACTGCTTAAAAGCAACCGCATATCAACCAACCACTCTAAACATCCTGACAACCACATAGCAATGCACGAAAAACCAATAAGAAGAGTCTGCCAACCGCAAAGCAACATGCCAACAACCGCACAAAACATCCTTAGCAAATGCATGGCATGCTAAGGAAACCATTCAAAACATCCTGACAGCCATGTGGCAAAGCACCAAAAACCAATTGGAACAACCTAGGAACCGGATAGCAACACATTGACACTCCGGGCTCCATGTGACACTGTGATGACTCAGTGTCTGGGCTTCTTTCTTCGGGGTTCCTCAGGCAGGGGCTCTTCGCTGATGTCCACGTGGATTCGAGGAGCGAAGCTTCTGCTGGTTGTGGAGAAGCTCTCAGTGATCAGGACACGTCCATCAGGATGCTCCGTCTCCACCAGTGAAGGGCAGTTGAGTGTCTCCCACAGTCGCTGCTTGATCTTCAGTCCTAGTTTAAGACTGTAGGGACGCCGCCGACCACTGCGTGTCTTCATCATGGGCTCCACCACAGAGCGGTAGATGTCCTGGTAGGCCTGTACGCTGTAGCCGTGGATGGAGACAGGCTCATCCTGCTGACACACGTCCACTGAAGAGACTGAGACTGCTGGACGGATGTCGGGAAGGACAGCAGCGTTCTTCAGGTAGCGCTCTTCCAAACCTGTGGGTCTTTGAGCTTTGGCAGAGATACAGCTGTAAGTGTGATCTAACCTGACTGATGTTACAGCTGCCAGCTGTGAAAGCTCACAGGGGTCTGGACTGGAAGAGACGTCCTCCACCAATAATCCCTTCAGGTGTGCGGGAAGAGCCCTGGTTCTTCTTGACCGACGCTGCTCCATGATAATGAATCAAGAAGAACTACAAAGACTGGACAAATCACTAAGACTTACCAAATTGTAGAGTTGTGAAGAGCTTGCAGCAAGTGTGTTCAGGCTTCAAGGCTTCAGAAACAGTTGTGTTAATTTCAAAAATCAACTCAAGCTCCTGGACTGACATAGAATGTTGAGGATCATTTAAATGTAAACAACACTTGATATCAGTAGCATTGGCTCTATGGTACATGTAGCCTACTATATGGTTCACCAATTTTCATTATCAATTTCGTTTACAGTTTCATATATGTATATATATATATTCCTAATCTGTGTCTCTGTGTAGTGTCTGCTAGGCCAGCATCACTATTTGGAACTGCTCTGTTAGTGTTTCATTAAAGAAACTGTGCTTTTGAATGAATCTTTCAAGGGAACATACCATTCTTGTACACTTTCTAGCACTCATAATTTATTTAAGTGTCTTCCCAATGAAGCATACAACTGCTTTGGTGGCTTTTTCCCCTGCCTCCAAAGACTGACTTTAGTGTAAGCAAATAGGCTACTCTCTTACTATTTCTATCTTTTTATAAAAAAGTAGAAATGGCAGTAGTATGCTTTTCTGAATTATGCCAGTGTTTTGAGTCTGAACGAGATTTCGAGTGGCATTGAATGAACAGATTCATGAGTGAATTGAATTTGTGACATGTCATTTGTGAATAAGAATGTGACTGAATGAAAGCAGGCATGTCATTCACTCAGTAAGTCAATCTTGTTTATCAAGGAGAGGGAAATATTTTGTGTGCATTCACCTATGTTTTGGACATTTTAATGTTTTTTAAAAAATGCTTTTAATGCTTAATGCTGCTTTTTTTTTTTTTAACCAGTTGAGAACCACTGCTTAAAATTATATTAGTCTACACAATCACTTTTTATGACCCTGTGCCAAGTAAACCTACCCTAAATATATGCACAGCAATGGTTTGAGAGTGTTTGTTCATTCTCTGGCAATATCTCCAAAAAAAAAAACTAAAATGAACATTGTGCAACAGTGAAGATAAAGTTTCCTGATAAGTTGCTCTGTGACTGAACTTGTTGACCATTTTTGTGTTCAGAAAGGCCCTGTTTTTATAGTGAGCAGAAATATGTGTTGTGATCAGCTTATCTGTTTCAGTACTGTGCGCTTATTACGATCACTTCTGTGACATATTCAGCGATTATTTTCAACATGAATTTCCCCGCTGGTGAACTTGCTGTGATCTTTTCCAATAGGATAAACCTTTTATTTCCGTCCTGCAGGAAGATGGATTTGTTGGTGGGGGCTCCTCTGTTCATGGACCGTGGCTCAGATGGGAAACTGAGGGAGGTTGGTCAGGTCTATGTCTACCTAGGAAAAGGTGGCTTCACCTTCAACAGTGTCATCAAACTCACAGGCTCTGAGATCTATGCTCGATATGGAAGCTCAATCTGCAGTGTGGGAGACCTCAATATGGATGGATATAATGGTACTTTTTTTACTCTTCTCATTTTATTCTTTGTATTTGTGTGCTGTGTTGTGTGCAACATCAGACAAGACAGAACATACATAGTCATTTGTGGTCATGGTCATGCTGCTGTTGTCATTGTCTTCTTTTCCTCATTGTGCAACAGTAATCATGACTCATGAGCTTTTTGAGCAATGGCTGTACTAGCATATATACAAACAATACTGCCCATGGCATTTATCAATAACCAGACCGGTTTTATGTTTAATCCCTCTGTATTTTCTCAGATGTGGCTATTGCTGCCCCATATGGTGGGCAGTTCCACCGGGGCCTGGTGTACATCCATAACGGGCGTCCCACAGGGCCGAATCCTGTGGCCTCTCAAGTTTTAGAAGGAACATGGGCGTCTGCTTCCATGCCTTCTAGCTTTGGTTACGCCATGCACGGAGGCACAGATGTTGATCAGAATGGATATCCTGGTTAGATTTCAACACTCATTGCTGTTTTACACATTCACTCATCTTCTGCAGTGTTTCACAACTGATAAGTTCCTGTCACCTAAATTCAAAGTTACTTCCTCTCGTTTACTCTTCTCATTCTCTTTCTCCCACTCTCTGTCCTTTTGTAGACCTGATTGTGGGGGTGTTTGGAGCTGACAAAGCTGTTCTGTACAGGTACAGTATGCTTATTCTGCACTTTGAAATCACACGTGCGTTTGATAGAATTTTATGATCAGGACGGATAAGCTATTGCAGGTGGTCTCATTTAATTCAGCAGCATTTAATTTGGTTTATGTGCAAGTAGTGAAGGCAATTACGGCCTGAATTAAAAGAAAATAACAGTGGAACATTTCCCATCATCTATATTTGTACATGGAAGACCACCAGGCATTGATTGACTCTGTACTACACATAATAAGCCATATACTGTATATGCATATGCATAATAAGCCTGTAAAAGGCATTATGGTACAGTCAGCTGGTCACTGTTGCAAAATAAGCTCTGAATAATGATAAACAGCAGTCAAAAGGATAGCGGAGTCACACTCTGATGTTTACAATGATAAAACTCCCTTCCCAGTCCAGGCCATTAATGCACACTAAGCTCCAAAAATGGGTGATTCAGAATCCGTCACAGTATTGATGTCACAAACATAAACATAGTTATATTACCAACCACATTTTTATATCTATGGTGCTTTAGTATTTTGAAGCTTGACCCGCCCTCATGAATGGGTCTGTGAATTAGGCAGTGATTTATATGCAGTGTGGATAGCCGATCATAACATAGGTCTTTTACATATAGACTTCTTAAAGGTACAGCAACAACAAAAGCCTGTTTAATTCTCAGGGAGTCATGTAAAGCTAAACTAAAATGATCCTTTAAAACTAAATTGCAGTGTTTTAATGATTTTTCTGTGATTTTTCTGCCATCTTACACTTTAAGGAGCCTTCTAAAATGGCAGACTGATGATACCTGCTTGTTTTGTGTTGTTAGGGCTCGTCCCGTCATCAGTGTGAACACCACACTGGATATCAGCCCACAGATCCTGAACCCTGAAGACAAAAGCTGCACCCTACCTGGAACAACCACCACAGTTTCCTGGTGGGTCAAGGTTTTTTCATCAAACAATTTCAACCAAACAGCCATCGTAGCCATTTAGATGCAAAATGTTTCATGAATGATGTAAACATAATGGCCAAATAAAAGTGCATTACATCACCTGCAAAATCATAGTAAAAATATTTTAAATATCCCTAATATATCACTAAACTCAACCTTTTTCCTGTTTTTTTTTTTTTAAACACGTAGTTTATGCCTTGACTATTATGCATTGAGAATATCATGGAAACAATGTGCATTAACACAATTCTACTCTAATTCTTTCCCTTAGCTTCACTGTGAAATACTGTCTGAAGGCAAATGGAAAAGGAGCAGAGTCTTCCCTTCGTAAGTACTTACTTTTTCATATATGCAAATTATTGAAACATATAATATTCAGGGCAATGGAACCTATTATTGCAAGTAGCAGAAGCACATTGCAGCTGTAAACAGAGTCCTGCTGTTGCGGTGTGTGTTATGAGCATCGCTGCGGGGGGAAACTAGAGCTCGTAGTGTCAGGCATCAGTGTGTTTGGAGCCGGACATACGGTGCAGAGCCATTAAAAGTCCAGCGTCCGGTGCTCACAAAGCCTTCACATGGATCTCACAGTCTGGGGTGTAATGGCTACCAGACCTGCAGCCCACTGTTCAGAGACCACAGACCATGATTCCAATTCATTATTTCTCTGTGTGCTTTGAACTTCTCCTATGCTCTGGTTAAGCTAATGGCTGCTGTTATGCAAGTTTAAGGTGCGGATGTGTATGGTGCAAGGCTTGCTATAAATGGATCTGCTGCTTACAGTTGAAAATCACAAATTGTGTGTCAGTTGTTTTGATTTGAGAGTAGGTAAATACACTACTGTGCAAAAGTTTGAGGTCAATTTTTTTTTTTTTTCAGCAAAGACATTAAATTGATCAAAAGAGACAGTAAAGACATAATACTTCTATTGTAACTAAATGATGTTCTTTTAGAGCTTTCTGTCTATCAAACAATCCTGGAAAAAAATGTATAACTTTCCACAACAATTTTAAGCAGCACAACTGTTTTCAACATTGATAATTATAAGAAATGGTGTAATGGATGCTGAAAATTCAGCTTTGCCATCACAGGAACTTATTGCATTTTAAAATATATTCAAATATGGTTGTCATGATTCCTCAATTAAATTCGAGTCCTCTATTTTAAAAAATCCTTGATTGCAGTTTACCCGCTTCCAATTAACAGCCAAAATACCGGAAGTGAGGTATTCCATGAACAAGAATCCATGAACCGCATTATTAGGGCTCGTTCACACAGAACGTGTTTTTGCTTTGAAAAATGCAAGACGCGGGCAGTGGAATGGGAAAAAACTTAAGGTCTCGAGACGCGTTTAAAAAAAAAAAGTTGACTTTATTTTAACTTGAACACCATGTTTTGAGAACGCTGTGTCATGCGCGAGACGCTAAAAAAAACACACAAGATGCGAGCGCAACGGTTATACACGTCAGTCTAGCGCATGTTTACATAGAAAAACAATGTGAAAGTAGCATTTTGTAATGGAGCCCTGTAGACCATTTTCAAAGGCTGCATGATATATAAAATCCAATTATAAAAAAACATAATATAGCAACTAGAGGTGGGCATAGATTATTTTTTTTAATCTAGATTAATCTAGATTAATATTGAAATTAATCTAGATTAATCTAGATTAAAATGGCTAATTTGAATTCTCCCGAAGGCATTCAGAATATGTGTGCTACCCAAATAATGACTAAAAGTAAGTCTTTGAGAATAGTTTGCCTCGCGTAGGGATGTGCATTTCTGCCAAAAATGCCATTCGACAATCGAGGAGCAAAAGTCGAATATCGTAAAAAAAATAAAAATAAAAAAACGCAATGACAGAAAGGGAGGCCAATTTCATCTTTAGCGATTTGTCATCAAACACACTGTTTATTAATTGAACAAGTAACATGTTTTCGTCCTTTTTTTAACATAGTAGGCTAATTGGAAGAAGAAAAAAAACAATACGCACGACAGTCCGTTTTTGCATCGCCAATGCTCGTTAGATCAAAAAATAATGTCATCATATGTCATAAGAATTTTATGTGAACCTGCCTTGTTACTGCAATAGCCTCATTTTTAAACAAATTAGTTTCAATCAATGTAAACTATTCGTGTGATTATGCCACTGCGCAATAGCCTACACGCGCAATACACACACAATGCTGAATGAAATGAAATCGAATGTATCGTCCTGTGGAATCATTCATTCACAGACAGCATACGAAGATGTTCAACTAATAAAGATCTTCATCGCTGGCAAAAATATGATGCATTTGCAGATTTGCATTCACTAGACTAGACTGTAGATCGGCCACTTCATCCAACGCTCTTGATGCTCTTAAATCTTCCTGTTTCGACTCCGAGTGTGAATTGAAAGCGCTTCAGACGATTCAGTGCGCGAGGAACTGAACAGATCAACTGATTCGCGAACCGATTTAGACAGATGATCTGACAACTTGTTTGATGAAGTCTTTGAACAGAATCGACTCAAAAGAGTGATTCATTTGTAAATGAGCATCGCTCATGCCCATACAAAGGACACAGCGCGCTTGGAATAAACTCATTTAACAACGTATTGCATTAAAATAAAGTAACGAGAGGAACGTCGCCCAACGTAACAAAGTAAAAGTACACCTTGTGTCCCTGACAGGAAAATACCCTACTGCGCGATCTGTGACAGTAGGCGCGGCGTCATACTACACATTAGAATTGCGCGAAAATATAACGATATTCGAAAAAGCTATTTATGATCCCAACCCAACTTTGATTAACGGCGATATTTTTTTTATCGCCCGATAAGAGTCTCACGTTAACGCAGCACGTTAACGCCGATAACGGCCCAGCACTAATAGCAACGCAACGTGCCTGTGATCAAGTACTTGCGTGGAGCGCATCTGTTGCTTATATCTGGGAACGCAATGTGTGCCATTTTACTAGATTTGTAACGCAAATCATTTATAAGCCTATGCCAACAGAGCGAAATATCCAAATATGCTAATTGTTGTTCATCATAGTTTCAAGATAAAAGTTTAAACCCTCACCCAAAAACAATTATTTTCATTTTTAATAATCATAAATATTAAATATTTAATAATAATAAAAATAATCGCCCAATTACTCGATTACCAAAATAATCATTGGTGCCAGCCCAAAAACGTATCCGATTACTCGATTATTTGTCAAAATAATTGACAGATTACTCGATTACCAAAATAATCATTAGTGACAGCCCAAAAACAATTATTTTAAGTTGTAATAATATTTAATGTCATAAAGGCAAAGTCAAAAAACCACCTGGCACCTACAGTATGTAAACTCCTGTATTTGAAATGAGTATCAGTGATTATACATGCTTATACACAGGATGTGGAATAGCTGTGTAGTGCAATATTGTAGAGTAATAGATAGTCACTAGTTCTGTCCTATTTTGATGACCTCACCGTGACTAGGCAGACCAAGTTTCTGAATACTTACAGTAAAAAGCGTTGTTGACCTGCTAGTGTGGGTGATCTGTCTTATGTCATTAAAGGGGTATGGTTCACCCAAATGAAAATTGTCATCATTTACTCATCCTCATGATGTTCCAAAACTGTATAACTTTATTTATTTTGTGGAACACAAAAGAAGAGATTCTGAGAAATGTCTCAGGGTTTTTCATACAAAGCAATCAGTAGGGTCCAATATTGTTTGGTTTCCAAGGTTCTTTAAAATATCTTCAGAATAAAGATTTATTTTTATTTTTGCATGACTCTCTTCAAAGAAGGATGTTTTGAGTTTTAAAAGTGTTTTTTCAAAGCCAAATGCTCATATCTTGCTTTTAAGTTCAGACATGTTTACGTAAATGTGCTTGTATCTCTCAAAAGTCCCTAATTAAACTCCATAAGGGTTGATCCAAGAGCCATAACTCTTTAACCCCAGGTTATTTCAGGCAAACTGAACCAGAGTTTAAAACAGCTGAATGCTTTCAGAGATTCAAGGGTATCACAGCATTTAAAGGTTTCAGGGTTGACTGTTCTAAGCAGTTTAATTTACAGAAAAAAAAATGTTTGCTTGTTGCCTTTAAATTGCCTCTTTTCTTTTTAAAAGAGAAGCTCTGTTATGTAAATAAAGCCCTGTTCACACCAAGAATGATAACTATAAAGATAACTATAACTGTAAGTATATTAGCGTCAACACCAGCGGACGATAACATTATTATGAGCGCGCTGCAGTTCTGTTGTCTGGTACTTTATATACTTGAGCTCTGTAAAGCTGGATGGATTCTGATTGGCTGTCATTGGTTTTATTGTTCATCAGCTCGAAAAAAACATTCTGAAAGTAATTACAACGATATTGTTACTTTGTCGTTATCGTAATAGTTATCATCCTTGGTGTGATTGAGCCTTAACTCCTGCATTCCTTCTGAATGTATTGCTTTTTTTATTAGTATTTGTGTTTCTCTAACTCCCATTTGGATTGAAATGAAAAAGGGTACTGACTGACCTGGAAAACCCTTTCATTCACAGTTTTCCAAGTGGATCTGACCCTGGACCGCCTCAAACACAAGGGAGCCACCAAACGGGTGCTGTTCCTCCACAACAAGATGTCTCATTATTCAAAGAACATGACCGTCTCCAACAACCAGGGGCCGGCCTGTGAGGAACTTCAGGCTTATTTAATAGTGAGTGAATCATTCACATTCATGCATTTGACAGATGTTTTATCCGAAGCATCTTGCAGTGCAGGCGAGGTATACTCTATAATTTATAGGAAATCAAACCCATGGTGTTCCTAACGTCATGTTCTACCAGTTGAGATACAGGAACACAGAGATTTCCTGTGTGACTCTTTCCTCACTTTTGCTGGTACTGGGCTGTAAAAAGTTTAGTGTAGTTTTGCTTTTCTTGGCCAGCTGAAGAAGTGCTGATGCCTTTATGTCATCAAATATGTGTTTGCGCTGCATTTAAAGCTGTGGTGGCAGATAGCCCAGATGTTTGGCACTGTAATATGCCGTTATTTTGTTTTTAAAAAGGAACAATGTGTTACAGAGCTAAAGAAGGATTTGACCTGGGAAGCCAAAGCTCTCTTTTCTGGACATAAAAGAGCATGTTGTAGAGCTTGTAAGCTGGACTGAAATTCCCCAGCCTTGAGCTCATTGATATAGAGGCCCCATTTCTCTCTCCGTCCACTTTTGGCTCTCTACCTCTCTCTCTCTCTCTCTATCTTAACAGGATGACTCAGAATTCAGGGATAAGATCACACCCATCTCTGTTTTTATGGAGTACAGCTTGGATTACAAAACAGCAGCAGATAAGACCGGCCTGTTGCCTATCCTTGACCAATCTGCACCTACAAATGTCACCAAGCAGGTACAACAGTTTCCCATACTAGTTCTGGTTACAGGGGCACTGCATATACACTATCGTTCAAAGGTTTAAGGTCGGTAAGATTTTATTTAGGTTTTTGAAAGAACTCTCTTATGCTCACCAAGGGTGCATTTATTTGATCAAAAGTACAGTCAAAACAGTAATACTGAGAAATATTATTACAATTTTAAAAGAATGGCTTTCTGTTTAAATATATTATTCCTGTGCTGCAAAGCTGAATTTTCAACATCATTACTCCAGGCTTCAGTGTAACATGGTCCTTCAGAAATCACTGTGCTAATTTGGTGCTCAAGAAACATTTCTAATTATTATTATCAATGTTGAAAACCGTTAATATTTTTGTGGAAACTATAATAGATTCTTTGGTTACTGGAATGTTCAAACGAACCGTGTCTATTTGAAATAAAAAATCGTTTGTAACATTATAAATGCTTTAAATCTTCATATCTATTACTTTTGATCAATGTAATGCATCCTTGCTGAATAAAAGTATTAAAATCTTACTGACTTTTTTGAATGGTGTTTGCTCAATGGGTGGGGTGGTGGGGGAGATGCATGTTTCATATATTCCAGAAAGATCTCAGTGTCTGTTGGAAAGGATGAGAGTAGAAAAGATGAATGAGGTTCATATACTATATATGGCTGCCATGGTTGAGTTAATGATTAATGTCTTTCAGGCTTTTAACAACGTTATATTTCTTTTATACTAGCAGTGTTCCCACAGGCATTGGCAAACAGGGAATTTTAAAATGGTGTTTTCTAGGTTTGGAAAAAAATATGAACATTTTTTATGCATTTGAGTCACTTCTTTTCAAGGAATTGATTGAAGCAATTTGCAAATTGATCTTAATGACCCAAGTCTAAATATGTCGTGAATCGATTTACGTTATTTTAGTTTTTGTTTGTTATCCATTTATCATAAATGACTGGAAAACCATGGAGATTCATTGAGTACGAAGTTTGGGAACCAAGAACTACTAGACGATATATTGTGCAGCAGCCACTCAAAAGATTAAATCTGTCTCTAACCAAAGACTTGCATGCTGACTCCTCAAACAATCACCATAAAATAGCATTGGATAAACATAGAAACTGTCTTTTAATATTCCATAATCCCTTGTGATTTTCCAGGCCCACATACTCCTGGATTGTGGCGAAGACAATATTTGCAAGCCAGACTTAAAACTGTCTGTTGTGAGGTGAGTCATTGGTTCATCTGAGCCTTAAATTCCACTGTGTTGTCTGGAGGCGTAGAGCTGGAGATTAACTCTGTGTGCGTCTGTACGTTTGATTGTTGTTTTGTGATCCAGTGACCAGAAAGAGATCTACATAGGTGACGATAACCCCCTGACCCTGGACGTCATAGCAGAGAATGGAGGAGAGGGGGCTTATGAGGCCGACCTTATCGTCACCCTACCATCTCAGGCAGATTTCATTGGGGTTGTGCGTAACATTGAGGTTAGCAGAGTCAGATCACTTAACTCTTTCCCCGCCATTGACGGAATTTTGCGGCTTTCTGTGTTTTCACTGTTATATGGTTATTACATGGTTACAGGTTTTCACTGTTATATATGCGCTATTACCCATCTTCTGAAAGAGTAGAGAATCTCCTGATCAAGACAGACAAAAAGGATCAGAAACAAGTGATAAAAGCATTGCTTATGCATGTTGTAGTCATTGAAAAAATAAATCTTTTTTTTAAAAGTTTTTTTTGTTGTTTGTTTGATTGAAACCAGAGGCTCTGTTTTTTTTTTTTTTTTTTTTTATGTATTGAATGTTTAGATATTCATACAACAAAATATTCTGGGGCCATGACATTTTTGTGAAAATTATCAAAAATACTGATGGGGAAAGAGTTATAGGAAGATCTATGAGTGCTTTAACCAAAATACAGAAAGCTTTTCCCCTTTAAGACCATTTAGTGTAATTTTAACTTCAGAATTATTATTGATGAATTATTTGATGTGGCAATCAACAGCATGTTGATGAAGCATACTTTTCTTTTCTTTTTTAAACCAAAAGCATTTCTTTGAATGTTAATGCAGAAAAAAGTTTGGGGTCAGTAAGATTAATACATTTATTCAGTAAGGGTGCATTAAATTGATCAGAAGTGACAGTAAAGACATTTATAATGTTATAAAAGTTGTCTATTTCAAATAAATGGTATTCTTTAGAACTTTCTATTCATAAAACAATCCTGAAAAAAAAAAAAACAGTTTCCACAAAAAACATTTCCACAAATGTTTTCAACATTGATCATAATAAAAGTTTCACCAAAATCAGCATATTAGAATGATTTCTGAAGGACCACGTGAGACTGAAGACTGGAGTAATGATGCTGAAAATACAGCTTTGCATCACAAAAATAAATTACATTTTTAAAATATATTAAAATAGAAAACAGTTATTTTAAATTTTAACAATATTTCTACAATATTACTGTTTTATTATTGTTGTTGTTGTTTTTTAATCAAATGCAGAAAACATTTAAAAAATCGTTCCACCCCCAAACTTTTGAATGTGTGTGTGTGTGTGTGTATATAGTGAAGTTGTTTAAGATACTTTTAGGTTTCATCTGTTATTTATGTATCTCAGACATTGTCTAGACTGTCCTGTGCATTCAAGAAAGAGAATCAGACCAGAGTGGTGGTGTGTGATCTTGGGAACCCAATGAAAGGAGGAACTAAGGTGACCAACAGACTTTCCGAGCTAAATTATCTGCATATTTATCTGTACCAAACGTTATTTATTTTATTTATATTGTTGCGTACTGTAACACATAAATTAGCTGTTTTATTTCATTTGGAGTTTTTCTGTAAAATTGTGTGGTTTAGATAACAGCAGGCTTGCGCTTCAGCGTGCACCAGCTCTCCGAACAGGACACAGAAGTCAAGTTTGACTTGCAGATAAAGAGGTATTTTAATTCATGCTTGCTATTACAATAGTACAGTTGAGAGAATCTTTGCTTTGTGCAATACTAATTAAAAGTCGTCTGTAACCCAACAAGGGCCATTAGAAACAAATGTTAAGCAAAGGTTTTCTAAACATACAAGTATTTCCACTTCCTGTCTTTTTTATTTAAATCAATAAAACTTCAAGCAGTTCCCTGCTGACTGCCCGTGACTTTTTTTCACATGTTAATTACAGGGAACAGCTGTCTTTGTCTCTCTTTGAGGACATCCTGCTTTGCTTCCTGTCTCTCACTCTTTCTTCACACCCTCACATCTATCTGAACCTTAATGATATATACTGCATATTTATAACTTAGACTAGTCCATGGTATTATTTCATGGATTTTTGTCTCTGAATGAATGAAATGTCTGTCAGTATTTGAAACAACAGCGCCACCTTCTGCTCAATTGTGAAAGTAAATAAATCGCCTTTGTTTTCAGCTCAAATCAGTTCAACAAAACCAGCAATCTGGTCTCTGTTGTCACAAAGCTTGCGGTGTTGGCCAGAGTGGAATTAAGAGGGTATGATGCTTTATATGTTATCTCGGTTACATTTATGTGACACATATTATGTGAACTGTTTATTTTATTTTATTATTATCTCAATTTTAAAATCAACACAAAATGCCATTCAGCACACATTTTACTTTGCAGTTGCAGTAAGTTATTAAATTTAGATCAAAGTTTAAAAAGGCTGATTTAGAATAACGTGGAATATGGAAAAAACTGACTTAATAGACTTTCTCATTGTGTATGTATTGGCTCTATCTTGTGCAGGGTGTCTGCACCAGAGCAGGTGTTTTTACCCATCGCTAACTGGCAGCCAAAAGACAGTCCTGTTCTGGAGGATGACATTGGACCTCTTGTACAGCACATCTATGAGGTAAAAAAATGCTGTGACTATTATTGGTAAAAAGACATTGTACATCTATTAAGCTTCTGCGGTGCATAGTTTACGATTTTGTTCCTATCTTCTGTAATCACTGATCGTCCCAGCTAAGGAACAGAGGACCCAGTACATTCAGTAAGGCCATTTTGGATGTGCAGTGGCCCTACAGATTCAACAACGGCTCTCTGCTCTACATCACCAAGTTTGAAGTGGACGGAAACATGAATTGCAGCTCAAACAGGGAGCTCAACCCTCTTAATGTCACTGTATGTATCCCACAATCGATTCATGAAAGTATTTTTTTTATATGTAATACTGTGGTTAATTAACAGGATCTAAAATTTAAAGGGGATTGTTCACCCAAAAAGTAAAATTCTGTCATGTACTCATCCAAGTTTCTGATTTACTATATGGAAGTCAATGGGCCCCATCAACTATTTGGGTTACCGACATTCTTCCGAATATTTTCTTTTTTGTTCAGCAGAAGAATTAAATTCATACAGGTTTGGAACAACTTGATGGTAAGTAAATGATGACAGAATTTTCATTTTTGAGCGAACCCTCCCTTTAATTACACAGTATTTTAACAGTGTGCAGAGACAAAACTTTGCTTGTTCACAATTCGATTGTATTTAGGATCTCATATAATATTCCAGGGATAAAAATTATGCTTTTGCTTTTACCTAGAATCCCAGATTAACTGACAAAAATGAGACCTCTGCCAGTGGAGACAGAGCAGAGGGGGGGAACAGACACAACGTCCACCGCAGAGACCTGGAGGACAAACAAGGGGAAGAAAACCTGGAGATTCTGGTATTGTCACACCTTTAACAGCTGCCACTGTCTGTGAAGTGTTTGCAGCAGTTTTACACTGCATTACTATATCATACTATTGTTCAAAAGTATGCGGTCAGTAATTACTTTCTCAGCAAGGATGCATTTAAATGACAGTAAAGACATTTATAATGTTACAAAGCATTTCTATTTCAAATAAATACTGTTCTTTTGAACTTTCTATTCATCAAAGGATCCTTAAAGGATTATCACAATATCCAAAATAATATTAAGCAGCAGCACAACTGTTTCCAACATTGATAATAAGAAGAAATGGGTATCACTTTACAATAAGGTTCATTAGTTAGCTACCTTAGTTAACATGAACTAAGAATGAACAATACTTCTACAGCATTTATTAATCTTAGTTGATATTAATTTCAACATTTACTAATACATTATTAAAATCCAAGGTTGTGTTTGTTAACATTTGTTAATGCACTGTGAAGTAACATGAACTAACAATGAACAGCTGGATTTTTATTAACTAACATTAACAAATATTAATACATACTGTAAAAAATGTATTGCTCATTGTTAGTACATGTTAGTTAATACATTAACTAATGTTAACTAATGAACCTTATTGTAAAGTGTTACCAAGAAATGTTTCTTGAGCAGCAAATCATCATATATGATTTCTGAAGGATCATGTGACTCGGAAGACTGGAGTAGTGTTGATGAAATTTCATCCTCTTGCCATCACAGGAATGAATTACATTTTAAAATATATTCAAATAAAAAAGTTTTTTTTAGATTTTAAATTGTAATTATATTTCACAATATTACTTTTTTTACTGTATTTTTTTTTTTTAAATCAAGTGTTGACTAGGTGAGAGTTTTTTTTTCTTTTCTTCAAAAACATTTTTCAAATCTTACGGACCCCAAACCTTTGAATGGTAGTGTTTATTTAAATGTAATTATGTATTATAAATTATTGTTCAACTATTATCATGGTTGTTATACCATCAAACCAATTTTGTTTATGGGAACCATTTCTCCCCACTATACATGTGTACCACTGGCACTGTCAGATATGCCATTGAACTGTCCATCTCATCATTATGCATGGATTTAAGTCCAGTTGTATGTGTGTACCCAACAGGATTGTGGGAATGCAGAGTGTCAAGAGATTAAGTGTTGGGTTGGTCGTCTGGAGAAAGGCCAGAGTGCTATTCTATTTATTTACTCCAGACTTACCGTGAGCACGTTTCTCAAGGTAAAAAAATCCTATTCCTTCCCCCACTGCAAAGTCTTTTAAGATCTAAAACATCCTGTTTTCACTGCACAAATGCTAAGATATTAAAACACAGTGGTGGTTTTCTTTCCTTTCAGGCTGAAAGTCAAAACAAATCGTACAATGTTCGATCCTCAGCCTCCTTCAGTGTCATAGAGATGCCATATAAAAATATAAATTCTGAGTTACCAACCAGCACAACATCGGTAAGTTCCTATTACATTTGTTCACTGAATTTCAGTGTTCAGTGTTTGTTACTGACTGCACTGACCCTGTGTCTCTGTCCTGCAGGCTTCTCTGAAGGTGATCTGGAATTCAGAGAACCCTCAGCCTGTCCCAGGATGGGTGGTGGCTCTGGCTGTCCTGGCTGGACTGCTGCTGCTGGCTCTGCTCATCTTTGTCATGTATAAGGTAAACATCTGTAAACTTCAGGTTACAGGGCTTAGATTAAGCCTGTAGGCCTTAGTTCAATTAGGACATTTTAAGCAGCTTTTATAAATGTGAAAAAACATTACTGGTGTGCATCTTGAGACAAAACAATGGCACTGATATATTTTTAAGATATATTAGTGCAATTTGCTTTCAGTTAAAACAGCTCAAACATGCATTTTAGTCTAGAACTAGGCTTAAGCCTTGTCTATGACACCGGGCATTAAACTAATTGATTGATGGCTGTTATCTCATCCCAACAGTCTCTATAGGGATGACCAACAAATATAGATGTCAGAAGTAGTAGTGGTTTTAAGTCCTTACCGTAATCAATAAAATGTCATTAAATATTTGTATATAAAGAAGTGTGTGTATATATATATATATACACTACCGTTCAAAAGTTTGGGGTCAGTGAGAATTTTATTTTTATTTTTTGGAGGAAAGAAATCAATACTTTTATTTATCAAGGAATAATTAATTTGAATCGAAAGTGACAGTAAAGACATTTATAATGTTACAAAAGTCTTTTGAACTTCCTATTCATCAAAGAATCCTAAAAAAAAGAAAAAAAACTGTACAACTGACAGACCAACAACTGTTTCAACATTAATAATAATAATAAATGTTTCTTGAGCATCAAATCCTCATATTATACTGATTTGTGAAGGATCATTTGACACTGAAGACACTGACACTGGTGATGCTGAAAATTCAGCTTTGATCACAGGAATAAATTACACTTTACTATATATTCACACAGAAAACAGCTGATTTACACTGGAATAATATTTAATACTATAACTGATTTTTGTTGTATTTTTAATCAAATAAGCGCAGCCATGGTTAGCAGAAGAGAATTCTTTTTAAAGTATTTAAAATCGTACCGACCCCAAACTTTTGAACGGTAGTGTATATATATAATTTTTAATAAAAATAAATAATTCCTTTATTCAGCTAGTGAGTGACAGCTAAACATAGGTCACGGAATTGCAAGCAACAGATAGATAGTTAGTTTGCTTTAGATGTCTCATCTTGATTTCTCTCCCCCTCAGCTGGGCTTCTTTAAACGCGTGCGGCCGCCACAGGACGATAGTACCGAGAAAGAGCAGCTTCAGCCTCAGGAGAACGGAGACAGAAACACAGAAGCCTGAGATCTTTACCTTCACCAGTGCCACATCCACAGGAGTGTGCCTGATTCACAGCAACTCTCTCATCTTTATCCGCAGCATCGGAGTGTTCATCCAGACAGCCCAAATGAGTGATGACTGTTGTCATTTTAATGGTACTCAACTCAACTCAACTATGCTGTTCTGGTAATAAGACTAAAGCCCCGTGCCAATCCTTTTCCCCTGTGCTCCTATCCTTTTTTAACTGCACTGAGTCTTAAAACAAGATTTGATTTTCAGTTGGGTTTAGAGATCAACCATTTAAATCGTAACACATTTCAAGTTGTTTACATGTAACAACAATAAAGGTGATGAACCTTAAATAATACAAAATGTCATCATGATTTTTAAATGTTTTATTTTGAGGAAAGACATGACGTAGTTTGGTACATCATTCGATTGCTGGTTCTGCTGCTTCTGTTGGAGAAACTTTCATGTTACTTTATTTAGTGGTGATCAGTTTCTGCTGTTTGGAGGTTTTCTGCAGGACTTTTAGTTCCTATCTGGGGTTTTTTTTCAGCTGTTGGGATTTGGACTCTGGTTTCTTATTTGGGTGTAAGGTGTATTATTTTGAGAAAATATTCTTATGATTGTCTACTGTAAACGCATAATTTTAGAGCAGGGTTATGTTTCTGCATTTAGAGCATTTGGTCGAATTTGTATTATAAAAAGAGAAAATAATCAAAGTCTTTGCACAATAGAGCAATAAACTGTAACATTTTTTGTATTTTGAAAACTACCACTTATGAACAGAGCACCTTTATAATGTATTAATTTACCTTTAGTTTTAAGATTCAGAAGTATTTTTTATAGATTAAAGACTAATCTGTTTTTTAAAGGTACATGTTGATTAGAATAGGAAAAAAAATGCATTTAGTGTGATGCATCCCAAGTAATATTAATTGATCAGAATCAATTTTGAATAGAAATTACAATCAGTTTGATAGTATGGGGGGGGACGGACTAAATTGTGCAATTTGGAAAAATGAGGCTGGAATCCTTAGGAGCAATATTGGCCTTTTGGGAAAAATATTTATATATTAAAAACAGTTATTTGACTGATGTTAATTTGATTTTGTGGTTTAAAGGTTCCGGTTCATAGTTTTAGGTCTGAAAAACACAACCCAGAACACTGAAAACACCCCTGGATTTCTTATGTTGCTGTATTATAGTAATGCTGCTGCCCATATGAATTTACCCATATTGGGTTGCCATAATTATGTTGTCTAAATGAAAATGTGTGTACTTCAATCAAAAATATGCATTTTAAAATGATCCAGAATATATTCTCTTTTGTTTTGTAAAGTTTGTAAAAAAAAAAATAGGACATAAGCATCATAGCAACAAAAATATGTATTTTTGAGAATCCACCATGTTTAAAAACAGATTACTTACTCTTGACTTTTTTTCCCCCTTGATTTTGTTCAGCAATATGTTGTTAATGCTTCTGTAATTCAAATAAACACATATACTGATGTACGGTAGATGGATTTTTTGTTTTTGCCTTATTTATGAATATACCAGGTGTCCATACTTTGTCCTTGACTTGAATGTAGTACCTATTTTTTAGTGTCTAAAGTTCATGTTATCATAACAGGATTTCTGTAACTGGTAACACTTATCTGGTTGATGAATAACCAATTGCAGACTTTAAATTCAAGAATAATCATCTTTAGAATCTACAGTGCTCCTATAGCTTTTGTACTCAAAGCAAAATAAACAGCTGTAAATAAGTTGAAAGATGAAGAATTTTTTTTAACAGTATTTATTGTAAAATGTTTGCATTGTGCATTATGTCGCAACTCATTGTACATCTGTCAGTAAGAAGCTGAGATCACTTCCCGGTTCATACTCTGTGGTTTGCTTCCCTCTGAGAAAGAAAAATAATCATTTCACTTGCTGTGCCTATTTGGCATTATTATTTTTTACTTCTATATGTTGCAGGAGTCTCTACATTACCTATGGAATAGTCGTGCATTTGTGCTTCCAAGTAAGGTGGCTTTGTTTCCTTCCACTAAAAGCATTGAGCCTTCCCGAAGACCCTGCCATCAACAGTATAGGTGTGTCTTAGTGCTCAACTGATGCTAGATTAATAACATTTTTAATGACTATAACAACAGTAAGATTTGATATATATATATATAGATATGAATGAATCTTCTGAATGAATGAAAGATTTTAAAAAAGGGTGTTTTGAACTTTCTATTCATTGTATCCTGAAAGAAAATAGTGTTACAGGGTTCCACAAAAAATATGAACAGCAAAACTGTTCTGAACATTTATAATAATAAATGTCTCTTAAGCAGCAAATCAGCATATTAGAATGATTTCTGAAGGATCATGTGACTGAAGACTGGAGTAATAAATGCTGAAAATTCAGCTTTGCATCACAGGTTTAAATTACATTTTAAAATATATTGACAGAAAACAGTTTATATATGTATATATCTCGAACTGATCCCAAACTTTTAAACAGTAGTGAGTAATGCATGTTAACTTGACATACCAGCACACATGGTGTGTCCGACTCCTCATGGTACTGGGTGATTCTCTGTTCACGTGTTTCCTGTAAAATGCACAATCAAATCTACGCTCATGAAGCCTAAAAGATCTACCTTAAAAGTTTTTGTTTATTATATTTGATAGATTTAACGTTTTATCTCATGGCATCAATTTCCTCACAATAAAGCAATGCATATATTTTTGGATTTTTATAAGAGAAAAAAAAGAGAATTGCTTATCAAGTCTCTACAGCACCAGTACGTACACCCATGTGTCTGCTGTTGGGATCAGGATCCAGAAAGTGAGGGTTAATGTTGAAGGGCACTAAAGCAATGGCAGCAAAAGTGGGTGGATAGACGATGGGCATGTCATTGGTGGTGTTGATGCTGATGGTGGAGACGTTGGTGCCTGCACTTGATCCCATGTAAGGTATTCCATCCTGTGAGATAAAATCCACACCTGTTACAGGCAATTGCAGTATATTTTAGATTTTGGTTAAACAAGACACTAATTCACCTGTAAAACTCTCTTCCTAATCTCAGTGACCACATTGTTGTCATAGAGAGCTTTCAGCAGGCGGAACGTGTTGCCGCCACCTAATGGACACAAAAATAGACATCAGATTGAGAGCCAGTCTTTCTGAATACATTATAAGTAAATAATGGCCACGCATTCACAGACATGAGTACAAACAGTATAGTAGAGACCACATTGAAAATTGCAAATTTAAAGCTTTAGGATTTTGACAAATGTATACAAACAAATGTTGATTTCTGGGTCACTGATTAAATGTAAGCAAATTTGTGACATTGTTCATGTGAAGTCCTTTAAGCATAAATAGGGGGACAAACCATATACATAATACTAAAATTCTTGTAAATCTTATAAAAAATATTTAAATTATTATTATTAGGTCTTTTTTTTTTTTACTATTTTTGTTCATATATATACTGTGCATTAAATATACTGATAATTATATAAAAAAATCCTTCATACCAATGAATATTCCTTCAGCTTTCCTAACAGCATCCACAGGGTCTGGTGTCTCGTGGACACTGTCCACCTCATAGCCTGGAGACAGAGAAAAGAAGAGTACAGCAGAGATGAAGGGCAATGTGGCAGTGACTGTCCTGTGAGATCAACGTACGTGTGTGTTCAAATCAATAAGACACAAACCCAATGTCTTGAACTTGTCTCTGGCAGTCTTGGCATAGGCATCTCGATCATGCAGTGCATATGGGACAAACAGGATCCTCTTTACTCCTCTGTTAAACAAAGAAGTTATTCATTTTTATAAATGGGTTCAATGTAGGTCAGATTCATTTGATTCCAAAAACACAAACTGTCATATTTTGCTCAATACAAACACGTTTAAAAATACCATAACTGGTGTTTATGTTCAAAGAATGGACTTGTACTTTGCATTTATCCAGTAACAAGCCTGCATACAGATATAAAACCAGGAAACGACTTCAGAATATTAATATAAAGGACTTTATGACTGTATTGCAACAATATTCTTAGGACTGTAGCATTCCGAAGTTTTTATTCCAACATTCCTGGTTAAGCTGCAGGCAACTTACTTTCCAAAAAAGTCTTGGATGTGCTGCTCACAGTGTTGAAGATATCCTCCTCCATGAAGTGTGGAGTTAGATACCAGCAGAAGTCTTCTCTTCATGATCTTCCTCAAATGTGCTGCCAAAGAAATGTAGAAGTTGATCAGAGGACAGACAGCTCAGCATATGACCAGCGCCTTTCTGCTTACACCACATATTCTCAGATCAGTGTGGTCGTAATCTTCAATACATTACCTTTGGACAGACAGTATATCACTCTGATTATTCCACAGATGATAAACATTCACAGGAACAAGCCATGATAAGAAACGTCACTGGAATCATGTGATATTAAAGCAAAACATGACTTTCATGAAACAGCAGAGGCAGATCAGAAACTAAAGAAATTGTACTGATCACAACTACGGAACCTTTAAAACACATTAAACCTCTGTTTTTGTGTTTAACCTTTTTATTTGTAGTTTTTTTTTTTTTGTAGTTACTCGCAGGCATTGTTTTCAAAATAAAAGCCCTATAAGCTGCCCCCGGACAACTAGAACACGCTTTTTATTATATTGATTTCTATATATTCATCTTGTTAAAATTATGGCATATGTTAATTCATTACGATAACGTTATTGATTTTTACAGATGAAAATGTAATAATTTATTATTATAATGATTTATTTTTGTTTCTCAAATACAATTGGTCTGAATAAAGTAAATAACACATACACCCTAAGTACCCTAAGTACCAATTTAAGTTATTATTGTGTGAAACAGTGAAAGTGTTTTATATCTTAAACTTAAAATTAAAAAAACACAGTCCCGTAATTGTGTCATTTCCACCATAACAAACATTCTTACCATTTAATGAAGTTTTATCAAACTGTTGTTATCAAAACAACAATAGTGTCACGGACAATATAATTTGTGAAAAACATAGATTTACATGATTTACAACCAAGCTGCATTTTGTCAAATGGTCCAAAACGTGTGTAAATATTATTTTATTGTGCGTGTGGGATGTGTAAAACTCTAGCTATGCAGTATGCATTAGCAATTAGTCTAAATAAATTAACTGTTTTTAAAATGTGTTTTGAAAAGGGTTTTTTTTTCTGTTTGTTTAAAGATGTTTGTTAAACAAACATCTTTAAATGCTTTTATTTTGTCGACGAGTAATCTCAGACATGCGCAAGTTGGTGTATCACGTGTGTGTGTGTGTGTGTGGCTTGCGTCACTGAAGCGGCATGAGTCTCGCGCGAAAGAATCACTACTACCCGCACTTTACTTTACACTGTTTAGCGGAACATGACTGATCAAACTGAAATGGATGACACAAGTATACATAGTTTAATCCTGAAACTACACGACATCCAAGCAGTCAAGTTCGGAACTTTTAAGCTTAAAAGTGGACTCACTTCGCCTATCTATTTTGATCTTAGAGTAACAGTGTCCCATCCAGCGTTGATGAACCAGGTAAACACGTGCTCACTTTGAGTAATGATATGATAATATACTGTTATTCCAAAAGTGTGTAATCGTACATCATATCCTGAGCATTTTCCTACCAAGAATGTTTTAGAAAACAAGTCCTTCAGATCCTTTTTTAATTGGATGTCATTCGTTGATCATAAAATCATATTTTTGTTTGTGATCAGGTGGCAAGCCTTCTTCACAAGCGTGCTGAGGATGCAGGGGTTCAGTTTGATAGTGTGTGTGGTGTCCCTTACACGGCTCTTCCTCTGGCCACAATCATCTGCTCTACCAAGCAATACCCCATGCTTATTCGACGAAAGGAGGCGAAGGACTATGGTATAATAGTGCAAATTTAACTCCACTCCATCTGTAATCCGTTTACTGTTTTTAAATATGACTAAACCAAAAATATTTGGACACTAAAGACACTTTAAAATTATGTTGGGTAGCAACATATCAAACCAAGCAGCATTCATCAAAAAAACAAAATCGTAAAACAATCCTCAAAAAAAGTATAATGCAGTAGATTTGATGTTCCAAACAATAACTGGTAGAAATATATATACCTTAAATACAATGTAAGTCGCTTTGAATAAATCCATGTGCCAACTACGTAAATGTAAAATGAATGCAAAATTGATTTTCTGGTTGACAACATGGAATGTCATATGGTTTATTTGTGTCTTTAGTGTCCAAATAGTTCTCGAGTTGCTATATTAATCATTTAGATTTACAAATTTATATATTTCATGGTGTGATTTGCAGTGTGAATCTAATATTATAGTTTACTAAAAACTAAAATCATAAAAAAGCATTTTCGTTACTTGAAATAAACAGTTTTTCTATTTATCGTCTATATATATATATGCATTCATATATTAAATGGAAATAAAACATTAAAAACTATTTTATTTCAGCTTGTTGCAAAGGCAGCATTTCTCATTTCCATTTAGTTTAAATTGAGGTACTGAAATAAAAAAAAAACTAATACGAATGACAAAACAAATATTAAATAATATAATAGTAATATATTTTGGATATGCATTGACACATTAAGCTTTTACTGCTCATTATTTAATGTATGATGTTCAGAGTTTACATGAAGACAAAATGTTGACATCCTCTTGCACATTTTACACGTACTGCAGTCAACACACTTCTGGTGTCCTTTTTGCTTCTGTATATTTGTTGTGGTTTACCAACTGTTTTTAGCACCTTATGGTGCTTGTTATCTTGACTTTTGTCTCTCTATGTTTGTTGTCGATTTGAATGTTGCACCATGAAATGGCATTTCACCCCCTCTGTATACTTGTATAATACCGGTCTGACAATAAAAGCTCTTGAATAGTAGTTTTATTTATCTTAATGATACTAAAATAACACTAATCTGAATTGACTTGTGTTTTGAAATTCCCCAGGAACGAAGCGTCTCATCGAAGGAACCATCCACCCTGGTGACAGATGCCTAATAGTAGAGGACGTAGTGACCAGTGGCAGCAGTGTTCTAGAAACCGCTGAGGTACTAGAGAACGAAGGCCTGAAGATCACAGATGCAGTGGTGTTAATGGACAGAGAGCAGGGAGGCAGTGCCAGGCTAGCTGACAGTGGCATCACTCTACATTCAGTCATTTCTGTCTCCAGACTTCTGGATGTGTTACTTAAATCTGGCCGAATAGACACGGCCACTTCTCAGAACGTTGAGAGATTTGTTCAAGAAAACAACACCTACGTATCAGCAAAGAAAAATGGCTGCTCCGCTCCTAAAAAGGGCTGTAATTATCTCGGCTATGGGGCTCGTGCCGGGTTGCCAGACACTCACCCTCTCGCCGCCCGCCTGCTGAAGACCATGGAGGACAAGAAGAGCAATCTGTGCGTGTCTGCAGATGTGACTCGTTCTGAGGAGCTGCTGGAGATCGCTGTGACGTTGGGGCCACTGATTTGCGTGCTGAAGACTCATGTGGACATCCTGCAGGACTTCACTGCAGACGTCACCAGCAATCTGAAAGAGTTGGCTATAAAGCACAACTTCCTGATTTTTGAGGATCGCAAGTTTGCAGACATTGGGAACACAGTCAAGCATCAGTATGATGGTAGGTGTTTGTTTCACACGGTGGTGGTGGATGTGGAGCTCTTGGAATTGACTAGTCTTAAATTTAACTTGTATAGTCTGCACTAGATATTCATAGACCAAAGTGTTTGTGATTTACTGGACAAGGTTTAAGAAACAGGGTTTATGGGGGTCTATAAAAGTCTTAATTCACCCATACAAAAATTAAGGCCATAAAAAGGTCTTAAATCAGAGCAGAATGTCGTCTTGTTTTTTGGGGGTTTTTTGCGCTACGCAGTGCTTGTTTGTATGTCTGTATTCTTAAAGGGATAGTTCACCCAAAAATCAAAGCTCTGTCATCATTTGCTCTCCTTCATGTCATTCCAAACCTGTATGACTTTCTTTCTTCTGTGGAACAATCTTTATGCAGAAGTTCACCATGCGAGGACATTTAAGAGAGTCCAAAAAAAAAGCTTTAAAAAAAAAAATTTAAAGTAGATCTTTATTTCTAGACATATGTTCAGATTCCTTGTATTGTGTTCCACAGGAAAAATAGTCATACAGTTCTGGAATTACTTCAGTGTGGTTAAATGACAGAAAAGTGAACAATTTCTCTAAATATGATTTTAATTTCTGCACAAATGTTGTTCACATAAAATATTCTTGTTTTTAAAGGTGGTCTCTATCGGATCTCCTCATGGGCGCACATCATTAATGCCCACGCATTGCCGGGTCCGGGTGTGCTGCAGGGTCTCGGTGCCGTCGGCAAGCCTCTGGGTCACGGCTGTTTGCTGATTGCTCAGATGAGCTCCCAGGGTTCCCTTGCAACAGGGGATTACACTCGAGCAGTGGTACGTCTTCTACTCTCTGTGAAGAACTAGATGCGAACACTTCCTCACTTCCAGTAACCCTTGTTTATTATTTCGTATCAATAATATCCTTTAATTGCTACAAGAGCTCTACTTTTTTTTTTTCTCCTTTAAATGTTTCAGTATTTTAGGATCAAGGTGGTGTTCTTTTTAATTTTTGTCCTAGCTTTTCTTCCCTATTGTGACATATATCTAAGTGAAATGGCTTCTCGAGCAAGAAAATAATGTAGGCCGGGACTTGATTTTGTCCATTGGGAATTGATGGGATCATTGTGGTTTGCTATTGCTGTGATGTCATGTGAGTGACAGGTTCAACCGTTGTCCCGCCCTCTCGCCAGTAAACGTGTCATCAGAGAAGAGATGTTGCTGCAAGAGGGGAGGGAAGTTACTTTGATTAAGGATTACGAGGGCACATGTTATTTTTAAATATAATTTCAAAATTATAAAAACAAAATAATCGTCCATTTTGATTTCATGGTTACTTTAAGGACCTTCTGTATCACTTATTATTTAAGCCACTTATTTGAGTTAATTGAAATGTCTTTTAGGTCAAGATGGCTGAAGACCATTCTGATTTTGTGTTTGGATTTATAAGTGGATCGAAGATCAGTGACAAGCCTGGTCTGATTCACATGACTCCAGGAGTGCAAATGCAGAAAGGAGGTGAATTTTATTACTGAATACACATTGTTTTGGCATTAGCTTTCCTGTGTCTCCAAGTGTTTGGTTGGAGAAAGGGGATTTTTACAGAAGAATTTAGAATTCTGTTTATATTTGCCTGTTTTTAGCGATCAGATACCAGTGTTGTTTTTAATGTAGTTCTCTTTTATTCTCCAGGGGATGGACTTGGACAGCAGTATTCAAGTCCAGAAGATGTGATCTGCACTAAAGGCTCTGATATCATCATTGTGGGACGAGGTATTCTTGCCAGCCCAGACCGGCTCCGAGCTGCAGAAGAATACAGAACGGCAGGCTGGGAGGCATATCTGAAAAGACTCTCACAGGCCAGCTAAGGAAACCCCTCAGGAAAGAGGAAGAAGAATTTGGGGCCAGTTAAATCATGTCTAGTCTTTGTAGCTCAGTCATTCCATCCACTTTAATACTACTAACCTGATTCAGATTACTCCCTCCTTGTTTTTGTTCACTCGGTAATAAAATGTTGTTTAAATACTTATCAATAAAAGTGTTGTTTGACATGCCAAATCTCATTTTTTAATAATTGTAATATTTTAATTCAACATTGAACAGGGGAGCTTTGAATATATTTTAAAATGTAATTTATTCATGTGATGCAAAGCTGTATTTTCAGCATCATTACTCCAGTCTTCAGTGTCACATGATCCTTCAGAAAGCATTCTAAAATGCTGATTTATTGCTCAGGAAACATTTCTTATCCATGTTGAAATCGGTTGTGCTGCTGAATAGTTTTGTGTAAAGAAAAAACTTGGATCAATCTTGGATCAATGGAAAGCATTTATGTGAGAGAGAAATATTTGTTATATTACAAATGTTTTTACTCTCTTTTTACTCACTGCATCCTAGCTGAATAAAAGTATTAAAGTATTTTAAGTTTGTATGTAGTATTAATACAGTAAATTACTGACCACGAATTGCAATGGCACTGTACCTATACAAAATTTTACTAAAAAAAATAAACCCTGATAAATGAAAAGTTAAAAGTGTGACAACTTGCCTCCATTTCTCTTCTGGCTTAAACCATAGATAGTAATAGAAAGCCTTATAAACACGTAAGGCATTTCCACCATTGTAAATATTACACATTTTGAAAGGATCTCTAATCTTGTCATCTCCTGTCAAATCCAGTAGGGGGCAGAAGCACACCAGCTGTTTTATGCCAGTCAAGTGTTTTGATAGCCTAAATAAGAAAATGACAGGACAATAATATTATAATTGGATAACAAGTCGACCGTATCATTGAAAATATGGCCTTTCATTTTTATTTCGATTTGCCGTATTGCCCATAGACTGTAAAAAAGGTATTGCCCTATTTTCATTGATAATTGTTACGGTTTTATGACATTAACAGTGAGACATGCTATTGCTACCCCATCTAAAATTTGCAAAAGCTTTTATCTAAATTCTATAATAATAATAATACAATTAAGTAGAATATGGTATGCATTTATAAAATTCATTTGTCACTCTATAGCCTATACTGTTTAAATGAACAGCAAAAAAGGCTACGGTGATTAAAATAATGCCTGATCTTTGCATCATAGTTTATTTAGGATTTTTTTTTTTTTTTTTTTTTTACCATTTCTTGCCGTAAAGAACGAAAAACATGTACAAATAAATAACATGAACTGAACAATATTCAATAGCATATTTTGTTCGGAAGATTATAGTTTTTTTTTTTTTTACCGTTTAATGCTCCATTTATATTTATGAAATCAACATTAAGCATTCACCTGCAATACCCCTTTCTTTCTTTCTTTTCTTTTTTTTTTAAGTTTAAGTGCCTATAAGAGGTCATCTTTGTATACGTCCTCGCCTGACCTCACGCGCCCATCCGCTCCAGATGTCTCAACGCGTTGTATCTCGACGAAACGCGAGGTGGGTTTGCACTGAGCGACATGATTGACATAATAGAGAGAAGTAATGTACTGTGGACCTCCCATTTGACTCCCTGTGTCAATATTGGATGAGAGGAAAGTGCCGTGTGACAGGTGTCCTGGACAGAGTTCCGCGCGCTCAAGACAGAGAGCAGATCGATGCATTTACTCGCGTGCACACTATATAAAGCTGAAGGCCTCAGCAGGTCTGTGTGCATTAGCAGTCGCTATTATAACGCTTCTGGTGCGCCGAACGACACGGTAAGTTTTGACAAGTTTTTTGTAACATTTTAGTTAATGCACATCGACATAGACTACTTTAAAATGTCATGAACTGTATATTTTCATGTTCAAGAACATGTTGTTAATGAAAGTTACCTGAGAAAATAATTGTTCACATGATCTATTGTTCTTCTTTACTGATTGTCAGGAAAGAGGACAAGTCATCATCAGAAACCGAATGAATTAATGGACGTCAGAATGGATGTTGTATATGTGCTTTCTGTACTTGTATCACGTTGAGCCACACGCACAATACCTGCAGATGAAATGGTTTTGTTCGTTCGGCTCGCGTTACGCAGATGCAGACACGCGTCAGTAAAACACCAGAGCAGCGGGAATCGGGATCCACGCAGAGACTGCCATTTCCACTGCTGTCACAGTCTGTTCAACGAAACTTGACCGTGTTAAAACAATGAATAAAACGCGTATAATTTGCTGAGTAACTATGAATGTCGATATAATGTCTTATTTTCATGTTATTTATTTGGTATTTAGAGTTAGACAAAAGGAAAACTCTGCTTGTTAAAAGTAGGCTTAGTTTTACCAGTAGGCTATAGGCTACACTTGTAACATCATTTAGGCTAGTTTATGAATTGAACCTTTATTTTTCGTCTTATAGGCTATGACCATGTGATTATATTTTAAGAACATATAATAATCAGTATATTGATCGTAAAACATTTCCATTAAGCTGAATTACAGAACTATTTTCTAGTCAAATCTTTGAGAGAAGCCCAATTGTTGAAGAACCAACGTGAAAATATCTTAACTAAATATATTATTGTCTTCCTTTTCATAATGGAGGCATGCAATGTACGTTATTCTGAATTGTTACATTATTTTAATAAAACAGAAACAAAATTAAAAAAACAAAAAAAGTGCTTTCTCAATTTGTATTTTTAGTATTATTTGAAACATTTACCGCTCTACTTATGTTGCAACAGACAATACAATTGTTTCTGAATTAAGCATATAGGCTATTGCATTATTCTTGGTAAGTACTTTGCAAACAGATAGCCTGTATACCTGCTGGACAGGAGTTGCCTGTTGGCTATGTGGCAGTTAAAAGGGTTACTGTTGAAAATGCAAATTGTGTTTTTTTTTTCTTGCCCTTGGCAGTAGATTAGATGGAAATGTCTGTCTCTGTCTACCATGGCCATGTTCTGCAGAAGCACCCGTCCTTGTGTGCTCAAACACATAAAGGACATTATCAGAGCAGATGTCACCTGCACTAGCTGTCTGGACCTGTCCACATTTGCCCTTAGAAGGATTAGTTTCCATGGCACCCTAAAGAAAACATCATCCAGCACTAACTATTCAAATAGCACCGACCAGTTTCACTGCACCTTCACACCTATTTGTAAACTGGCTAAGTAAATGAATGACAATCAGGAAAAACAAAATGCACACCTATGGTTTGATGGTGTTGTGCACAACACACAACAATAATGAACATTTAAAAAAATGTATTTCATGAAGTTTATCTTCGCATCGAAATAAAATGTGGCCATATTACAGTTCAATTCGTGCTCAAATGAAATGTAATATGATATGTTAAATCCTGCTTTTCTGAGCAATGACACCTTACTCTGGAGTGACACGGAAGCATCACACTTTCTGATTTGCAACGGATTGATTTGCATGTCAAATCACTCTGACAGTTACATTGGGTTTTGCATGTGGGATGTTTACCTTGAACACACACACTTTAGTGCTCATCTGATGATGTCATCAATTCCTTATCTCTTATGCTCATTAAAGCTGCATTTAGCCTATTTAAAAAGATACAGTATCAAAAGTACAGTACAAACAGTAATATTATAAAATATGATTGAAATATGCATATTCTGTTTTAATAGGGTTGTAATTTATTCCTGTGATGGTAAAGCTGAATTTTCAGCATCATTACTGCAGTCTTCAGTGTCACATGATTTACTTCAGAAATCATTCTAATATATTATGCTATATGCTGATTTGGTGCTCAAGAAACATTTCTTATTATCATCAATGTCGAACACAGCTGTGCTGCTTAATGTTTTTGTGGAAACAATGAATTTTTTTTTTTCAGGATTTTTTGATGAATAAAACGTTTATCGACGAACAGCAAAATAAATATACTTGAAAAATAAATATTTTGTAATATTATATGCCTTTTGATTAATGTAATGCATCATAACTCTCTCTCTCTCTCTCTCTCTCTCTCTCTCTCTCTCTCTCTCATATATAAAGAGAGAGAGGGGGAGAGATGATGCATTAAAGAATGCATTAAATTTATCAAAGGGATATATTAAAAATGTATATATATATATATATAAACACACGCATACACTAGTAGCACAGAAAAATTGACATAAATTCAGATTATGTATATATATCTGTGTATGTATGTATGTATATATATATATATATATATACAGTGTGTTGCCATATAAATGTTGCCTGAATTAATGTCATAATTACAGTATGGATGCAACTTAATTATAATTATATTATTCCTCTTTTTTTGTTTCAGGGCGTGTGGGATGTAACTGGCTATCCTGAGAAAATGAGTGTGAGCTCAGATCTGCTAAATCAGGATAACAGGACAACAGCTGTGCTCCCTGCATCTCTACAGCACCTGTTCTTACGCAAACAACGCCTAACAGGTGAGAACAATCACATATGCATGCACCGACACACATATTATTCATGCCTTGGCTTATTAGAATATTTAATAGGGTTTGGATTCCAACATAATTGTCTATGTCTTGTCTATGAATAATAAAACATAATGCTCTAGTGATAAAGGTCATACAAATGTACTGAAATCCACTGGTCATGCAATAAAGCATCACACCACAAGATGTCATCAAAAGGGCTGACCAATGGACTAATGTTCAGTTTAAGTATAAAAATAATGTCTATTTTTTTATTGATCATGTTCTAAATTACATGACACTTGCTTGATATGATAAATCTGACTATGCTTATCACATTTCAAAAGTTACTTTTATGATGTATTATTAAAGTTGTTATCTAAAACAGCTGTATGCCCTATTCATCTGAACAGCTACAATTATTATAGATTTAAAAAAGGATGTATATTAAATGTGGTGACCCCACCCCCTTACATGCATATGTTGTTGTCCAAATGATCTCAGAAACAAAAAGAGAAGATTTGTGTTCTGTATTCTGTGTATTACGTTTTCTGATATGATTAATGTTCAGCATCATTACTATAGGTCAACAACAGCCAGGTCTGCCCAGGGAGAGCATCCACAAGCAGGCACCAGAGAGTGACCACGGACGGCTCAGCCTAATCTCCAACAATTCTGCTATTATCTGCCCTATCCAATCAAA